TTATCATATGGTTAATATATATAATAATATTATATCATCTGTTTTTTATGATAATTGTGTTTCGTATGATACGTATGATACGTATCATGCGTATGATATATATGATACGTATTGTATAGTATAACCCTTCCTCTAAGGTGCATGCTTTTGGGGGCTTGTCACGACTGTACACACCCATTCTAAACGCTAACCCTACAGTACTGGAGACCAGCTTCACTGCCTTGTAGAACAGCATCCACACAGGCTTATTTATCCAAACCATATCTTTTTCACAACAGAGGTCATTTCTTATTACAGTACGGTACAACCGCGAACTGTCTACTCCATCATTTCGACGCGCCAACAACTCTCACTCTCGATGAGTGATGGTACCGGTACAATGATTGGAGGTGGCAACGACAACACAGTGCTGAGGTTCTCTTTCACCAACAAACAGCAGTTCAGTGATGCCTCGTCGCAGTTGCAAGAGGCGTCGTCCCATGTTTCCGTGGTTCACCTGAAAAGCCGTGGCTTTCTCTCCGCGTGTATCCGGGTCTCCAAGCTCATGGGAGAGTTGGCGCAATGTCCTCTTCTTCAAGTACTTGAAATCGACATGCCCAATGAATCAGTGCATACCCATGCGCTTGTTGCCGTGCTCCAAGCGTCAAAGAAAACATTGGTGACATTGACTCTACGCGCCAATGTTTTGCGTGCCAAACGAGGTGGTACTGCTAGCAAAAGGCTCGTCGTGCAAGGACTGCGGAACCTAGTCGCATTGGAGAATTTCTCATGGAATAACGGTTCCGTGGACGGCTGTTTCAGTGAAATCATTGGAGCCGTTGCGAACTGCCCAAAGCTAAAGTCTGTGACGTTGACTCAAGATCTTTGGGGAGAAACGTTCGACGAATTGGCCCTCAATCCAACCCTGGAGGCTTTGACTTGTTCAGGGTGTGTCATAAACTGGACTGGTAGACTTGGAACCTATGATATCACTTTGGATCGGTTCTGCCAGACACTGCAAACTTCCCGCCTCAAGTCGCTCAAGATCTGTCCACCTCCTACCAATAATGATCACGAGAATGTTGATTTGACACCCCTTGCCAACTATCTACACCACACCAAACACTTGGAACATTTGTCATTGGCAATCCACAAGACACAAGTCAAGACTCTAGCCAATGGTTTGAAACACAACCAATCGTTGAAACGTCTAGAGATAAGAGGATCCGGACTGGTGGACGAAATTGTTGCTTCCTTTTCGTATGTTATGCCCAACAACATGTGGCTGGAGGAATTCAAATACAACGGTTGTGACTACGATGCCGATCCAGCCATTCCTTTCTACATTACTCTGAACAGAGCTGGACGAAAGTACTTGGTAGAGAATTACGACGCTCGTGACGATTGGGTGAAGGTGTTGATTCAATATCATGTCAACACTCCACTGGTCTTTCACCTCCTCCAGACCAACACTTCCTTGCTCAAGGGCATGGGGCTGGACCATCATCACAACAAGGGGCAAACTATACAGTCTATTGGTACCCGTAAGAGCACCGTGTGTGAGGATGTCAGAAACAAACATCACAACAAGGGGCAAACTATACCATCTTTGGTACCCGTAAGAGCACCGTGTGTGAGGATGGTAGAAACAAACACGACGACGAAGCATTCCGAAGGTTTTTAGCGGCTAATGGCTTCGGATGGTACAGGACCTGGCAACCTCCTCGTTGCCCGTTCACCGGAAATCAGACATTCGATTATTGCAAAGACAAACAGAAGGATCCCTCCTACGGTATAGAGTATAGCTATAAGCTTCTACGGTAACATTCCTACACCACCGCCATCATGAGCTCAATCATGATCGCAACCCTAGCTAGTAGGCTAGCTTGCTGTTGCCGACCTCACAACGGGAGTGCTGCCGTGGACTAGCCTAGCCTACTCGGAGGACGACTGCTTTAGCAATTCTTGTTGCGCTTTGGCTTCTTTGTTGGCCTTGATGGTTTCCCGCTGAAACTGCGCTTCTGTTACCGTTCCAATCCCCAGGCGTCCATTTTCCTGCACCACAAAATCATATCCAAACTCGGGCAAAATAAAGGACAAAGCCAAAAAGGACAACCCAAATCCAAAAGTAGCCGTTTGGAGGATTTGGCCGATATTGATACTGGGGTAGTCATTATTATTGTTGTTGTTGTTGGCCTTGAGGGACGTCGTCGTATCTTTGGATGGCGGTGAATTATATTCAGAGACAAAGGGGATCGTTCCTCCGCGTGCACTACCACGACGGATGACAAATGCCTCGCACTCCATAGACAACATCAGCACCGCCAGGAATCCAACAAAGCGGAATAGTTTGCGTTGACAGCAGCGAAACATCATTCTAATAATGCGATGCGTGTGATTACAAAATAGAAAGGGTAAAAGGGAGACAATATTGGTACCAGTACCTGTGTGTTGAGCTTTGTTGTTTGGTGAGGGCTCGGCTCGAAAAGCACACTGTAAGTGCGTGAGGCTCCAAGGAGCTCTTTTAGGACTGATTCAGTCACTGGTGGCAGCAACCTCAGGATTGTTATATGTACCGGTACCGGTACCGGTGGTACTCTCATCACCACGCCGCCAGCGCTGTCACTATGATTGGATTGGTATCAGCATCGCACTGTAAAGGTAGACTACTAACTTGCTACCGGTACCGGTAGAGGAAGCTCTTGCAAGATCACGAGCTGACTGCTTGCACCGCCCCACTCATTCATCCACAAGAGCACTGCTTGCACTCATTCATTTGACTCTTCCACCACAAGGAGGAAAGAGGAATTGTTGCATATCAAAGCAAGGAATTACTGATCACAACAGACACAGCACAGATCATCCTGTATTGCCAGACCTGGTAGGAATACCAACTGGAGTACAAATGGTTGACTGCAGCAGTACAGTTGTAGGAAGTGAGGCAATTGCTTTTGTTCACAACACCACTCATTCATCGCGTCAATTCAGAACGTACTAGCTACGTGTATCGTACTGGTATACCCGACCTCCAGCACAAAAGCGCAGGAGGACGATTCAATACAGTAGCATCCAAGCTCGTCCCAACTAGGTTTTGGTTTTGGTTCGTCTTGTGGATCTAGACTACATGTACTAGCTAGTAGTAGGTACCGTACCGTACGGTACCAAAATGGGCATTTGATGACCGTCAATAATTGCAGAAAATGTCTTCGGACACTTCCCCGAACAACAAAGAAGTCCACTACCCGCGAAACAAGAATAACCAGAGAGCAACCAAGAACAAGAACCATGACAACCAACAACACAGCAAACTTAAAGACATCCAAGCTATCATCTGTACTAGAACTGTGGGTCCTGCTCCGAAAGCATTCAAAGTGACATCAGTATTACCTTAGAAAAGGGTATCAACAGTCTTACTGCAGACCGTGCCTTATCATGAGACAGCAAAGAGCCCTTCCACCAGCAGAGGACACTGCTGCCCCGGCTTTGATGCCAGCATCGGCTGGCAGCAGCAGTGAATTCGATGCCACTACAATAACCGAGGCTGAGAATCATCAACATCAGAATGCCGCTCTGAGCATCATGGAGAGCAGTCCCTGGTGGATCCAAGAATTGGCCGACGTGGATCCCTTTGAAAATCAAATGCCCTCCATGTTTCCCTATCATATATCTTCTGGTTTTAGTGACGCCGGACTCGTACGACGGCTCAGTGGTTCTACCATGACCAGCAACACCGTTTCCATTCGATCATCATCCTCCGATACTACTACTAATACTACTTCACCCCAGCTGCGACTGATGCAAATCTTGGAGCAACATCACATGACAACATGGCTGGAACAAATGCACACTCGATACTTGAAAGACGCACGACGCATCTGTCGAACAACTCGCCATTTGGCCAATCCAAAAGAACAACAAGGATCCCAACAACAAAATAATAAAGAGGATCTCGAGGACACCCTGTGTCAGCTAGAGACCAATCTCAGCATGCTGCAACGACTATCAGTCGGCGGTGGTGGTATGGATGTCCAAGAGACCATGGCCACTATTCACGGCGAAATTGCCGAGGTGGCCCTCCGCATGCACAACCCGGAACGGGCACGACAAGCCCTCACCGCACAGTTGCAATCAAACTCAACCGATCCCGTGCGAATCGCCCATGCCAGGACAACGTTGGGAGATTTGGAAAATGATGAGGGTCACTACGATGCGGCACTCCAATTGTGCCAGCAAGCGCAGGATACGTACCAACACTGGTATGGACAGGACAACATTGTCGTGGGTCGTCAGTGGGTGCGTCGGGGGCGTACCTGCCTCAATATGGCAAACACAAGTACGTGCCAATCCAACCGTAAAAAGACACAGCAACAAGAATTGGCACAACAAGCCTTGGATTGCTTGCAACAAGGATTGGATATCCTCAAAGCTAGTAGTAATCTGGGGCCAGATGCTTCCGAGGTGGGAGATGTGTTGTATCTCATGGGACATGCGCAGCTGGCAATAGGGAGTAATCACGCGGCATTGGAACGGCTTTGGGAGTGTTTAAAAGTTTGCAAGCAACAAGAACGACAGCAACAACAACAGCAACAACAATCATCTCCATTTCAACCTAACAACGACAACAACAAACTTGCCAAGCTTGAGGTTTTGAAAACGTTGCGAGCCATTGCCATGGTGCACCACCGGAATGGAGCAGAAGAACTAGCAACGAGATGCTACGATGACTGTGAACGACTGGGAAAAGAAATAAAGGACGCTGATGGACAAGCCGAACTAGCCAGAACGTGGCTCTTTCGAGGGCACCTACACACGCGGATCTGTCAAAAGGACCAACGAGAATGCGCTCGGGGCATGTACCAAGATGCTCTTTCCGTAGCAGTATCGCTCCAAGATCTCACACTACTGGGAGAAACACTCGTAGCCATGGGGGACTATTGCTGTCTTGTTGGAGAGGAAGAGCAGGCCATGTCCTACTACCAACAAGGTAAGAGCAAGACTTACGCTATTTTATTGTTTTTGCGTCTTTTTGCATCAAATCTTATCTATCATCATCCTGCCTCTTCCAGTTCCTTCCGCTTGCCAGCAATACCGGTATGTTTCCTTGATTCGAGGCATCCTTCACTTACGACGTGCTGAAACCACGTCGGCGATAGCCTGTTTGGAGGAATTCACACTGCTTCAAGGAGCGGAAGACGAAACTTGCATGGTAGCCACACTGTCCATGGGAGTTTGTCATGCTGCAGAAGGCGACAAAGACCAAGCGAAACGGCGTTACAAGGAGGCTCTCGCCCTCTACAGTACCGGGCATTTGTTTTCCAATGATCCCACATCAAAAGAGATTCTCCAACGTTTCAAAGCAAGAGTCAGTAAGCGAGGTAGCATTGGGAAAGTGTTTGGGCGTATCAAGAAGGCAGTTCGAATGAACTCCATCGAGGAATAGTAATGCACAAATAGACCCTCCTTTGTAGTTTATTTTTCTGTCCACAAGCGGTGCTTGATACCTGAAACTCCGTTCCTGTATTCGCTCGGAACTTCTCACAGCGCACAGGCTCTACCATGCTTTGCTGGGCAGCTTACGAAGAGCCCAAGGAAGGAGAAACATAAGTAGACTAGAACACTCAAATGACGCAAATGATGGTGTCTGTGCACCTGCTAATTGTCCCCATTATTAGAAAGAGGGGTTAGCTTGAGCTGAATGTCTTTGTCCGGAGCCATTAAGGTGTCAGCAACAATTGTCACAGGTGATTGGGGGCCAGTTCAAATTCAAATGTCTGGAGCAGCTTGATCAAAATAGCATAGGACAGGATTTCACTATATAATCTTCCAGGACAGGTCCGGACACCATGGCCAAATGGGAGAAATGAAAAACCCTTGGTCAATGGGCCAATGCACTGCCACTTTTGCTCCTTGCTGGTTGTAGTGTTTTCATCTGCGGGGACAAGGTAACGGCGGTAAGAAAACACTTGTGGTGGTGCATTGTCAGGACCAGTTGGCACCCCTTCTGCAGGGGACTTCTGCTGGAGCATGATGTGTCTTAGAAAAATCAAGACTCTAGAACCCTTGGGCAATGTCGTACCGCAGAAGGGTATGTCTTTGGCTGGCTGGAGTCCCATAATCGGAGTACAATAATATCTATGGATCTCATGGAGAAAGGACTTCAGGACAGGTACTTTGGTGTAGTAGTCGTCAAGGGTGGCTGTTTCCAAATCAAAGTCTCTGATGTGTTCCCTTAGTTCAGCCTGTAATTCCTTGTTCTCTGCCAGGAAGTGTAGTGTTGATAGCAATGTCAAGGAGGTGGTGTCAGTACCTGTAGTTGAGGATCCATCAACGCTGTTAGTGAAATTGCTCATGCAAACCTGGGGATACAACAGCAACTGCGGATCATTCTTACCAGCAGCAAATGCAGTGACAATGTTTCCTACAATTCTTTCATGGTCCAGTTTGGACTTTTCTTGTTCCATGACATCATACAGTTTTGCAATAAATGTCTTTGAATTGGCCTTGGGGTTTGCAGCGCGTTCCTGTTCGTAATCCTTTATGACTTGACTAAGGGTTGCCATTCCACTGCGAAAGTATTTCCCAAACCCATCAAGATCTTGACCAATGAAAGGAATTTTCCAGAACTTGATTGGAGCGAGAACACGTCGTGACAGTGCTTTGAATCCCTGATTGACCAGCCCGCCCATATCAGATTCAGGATTGTGCAAGAAATCAAAGTCCCTCCCAACAAACACCTTGCCGACAGTATCGGCAGGGGCATGCCCCAGATCTTGCTTAATACTGATCACACCATCGGGGCTTTCTTTGGCATCTACTTCCCACTTTTGAATGAGGGCAATCGCAGAGTCCTTCAGTGTGGGTACATAATCCTGCATGTGGATTTTATTGAGAGTGGAGGAAATCAGCTTTCTCTCTTGTTTCCATTGCTCCCCTTCGGCAGAAAAGACTCCAGTGGCTCCTAAACTTTTGACTGCTTCTCGCAAATTGGTGCTTCTGGTAACATTGAAGGGTCGCTGAGAGAGGATTTCCTTGGCGGCATCTTCCCGACAAACCACCAGAATTCTTGTGCCCATGACTTCGAATTCAAAGCATCCCGTCTCTGCTCCATATTGGTCGGCCCATTTCTCCAGAGTTTGCACAAATCCGATCCGGCCTCCAGCCGCCATTGTGTAAAAATGTCCAAGCAGCGGCCACCCACCCGGAACTGTCTTCCAAGGCTTGTTTGCTGTTGTGAGTTGCTGCCGGATGACGCTGTATGTGGCCACAACCAGGATGGCAACGATAGAGATCACCAAACCTGGCTTGTCAATCAGCAAATCATCCAACCACAACATGGTCCTGGGAATGATAGATTGATCGATGTTGGTCTACTGCTTGGAGTAACGCTTCTGTCCTTGCCCAAGTTCGAAGGAAGAAAAAATGTTGTTACCGCGATGCAATTGCAACTAGATCAATGTAGATACCGTACTACGTAAGCGGGTTGCTTATTTGGTTAGAGGCGAGACTATGGGGGCAAGGACTCGACTCTACTATCTATGCTAACAAAAATTTTGCAAGGTGCTTCTTCTTGAGCAGCTTCTCGGTTCTCGGGCAGCTTCTTCCAGCCCTTCTTGAGCACCTCGAGCATTCTTTGCTTCTTCGATGCGTCGAATTCGATTTGATGCTTTGAAAACTCGAATTATCCATTCGAATAGATCCAGATTTGGTCGGGCCCCAGCGACCAGCGAAAGATTTTGGCTTCGCAAACTCTCTTCAAGGAAGTCATCTTCCACAAACAGAAAGAGGGAGAGACGTTTGCAACAAGAACAGCACCATCCGCCATGACAACCAGTGACGATCTGCCTGCATCTCTTACCGTCCCGTACCTTGTGGGCAAGGCCGGCAGTTACAAGGATGAAGCAGCGACGGCCGTAGTGGAGGACCCCAAAGAAGTTTCTGCAAGACAATGGCGTCGACGTCAAGGATGACGATTCCGAAGAAGACATTCAAAAAGCCGTGGCGGTCGTCCAAGACTCGGCCTTTTGGCAAAAACACGCCTCGTTGCATCCTCAACAGGGTCGTGCCAAGAATTGGCTCTGGGTTCATGATCGGTACCGTACTCAAGCCACAGCCTTTTTGGACTTGAAGGAAGATCCATCGAAACAAATGGCCGCCTTTGCCAAGTTCCACAAAAAGCTTGAATCTCACAGTGAGTTTGAAGACACGCAACTCTTCAAATTCTTTGTGGATGCCAAAATTGGGAACCAAGATACTCTGGAAGAACTGCAAAAGCAACATGGCAATATTAGGTTAGTGTCGGAGATTACAGAGGGTCTGGACAAGATGGTGGCGGGTTCCGCATCGGACGAGGAGAAAGCGGCCACGCAGGAAAAATTGGAAGCCTATGTCAAGGACTTGATGGCTCATTTGGATTTGGAAGAAAAGACAATCACAGGCCCATGGATGCAGCTGACTCCAGAGCAGTACAAAACCTACAGGAGCTATCTGTCATGGATGTACTGGTTCATGTACTAGCTAGCTAGGGCTAGCTAGGTTACTTAGGCGACAGACTGTTGAGGTTGGTTCCGGCCATGAGTGCTTCTAAAGTCAGTCAATAAAAAAGACTGTATGCCGCAAGTTATGTGTGACGTACCGCATTGTACGTGTGGAGCAAGAGAACTGATATCTTTGTCAATACATACCGGTACATGTAGTTATTAGCACCGTATTTGACTGTGTCCAAAGTCTCCCCTTGCTCGATGCTTACTTGTGTGACGTCAATGCATACATGGAGAAGCATGAAAGCCCGTTCAAAATGGCGAATAGAATGCAGATTGAATCGTTGTCATCAATTAGGACAGACAGTATCAAAAAGCGGTGCTGGATGCTCCATTGCTCGAGGATGATGTGTGTGCTATCGTACTGTAATATCGTAGCTAGCTAGTGCTGGCGTTGTATGCCATTGATAATGGTGTGAGGATTCCAATATGAATGAATTTATTAATATTTATTCTCTATGTAGTGGACGTGAATGCGACTGATGTATCGGTGTTCAGAGAGGACATGATGAAATCGATAGAAAAGATTCCCATTCCCAGGTAAGTCTGTTACGCAAAGTCGTCTTCAAGGTCGTCATCGTCGAGGATGCGGAGCACGTCATCGAGGATATCAAGAAGCTCCTGCTTTCGAGAAGATGCATCCCTTGCAGGATGAGGACCAGGATGTGTCTGACGGGTTGGACGGGCTTGTTCAAGGGCAAGGAAGGTGTTCCTGAGCGTACCGATGCGGTCTTGACTGGAAGCATCATTGAGGTTGGCGGTGTTGGTTCGAAACTGGTGCGAAAGAAGGCTTTGCAAAGATGGTGGAGATGTGTTGGTCGATTTCATCGTTGCTTGAGTGGAAAGAAGTAATGTTAGGTACGGCGGTTTACAGCGAAAAATGGTGGTCTCCTGTAAAAGATCAGTTTTCAGGAATTGTGAGTATAATAGCTCTATGTCAAAAAGTTGCTACAGACCTGTGAGCCGAACGAACAATGAAGTGATTGCATTCAAGGCCAGCTATTCCTCAATCCTCAATAGCAATTCAAAACAACATCACCTATCTAAAGTTGTACCATAGCAAGAATCCACGGAACGCGGAACACGAAAGAATGTCAAGGCCTTCTTTTCGGGGCTCTAGACCTCTTCTTCGGAAGCGCCTTCTCCAGCTCCTTCTCCTCCACACAAGAGCTCAAGTAAGTATCAAGTAAGTATGGCTTTAGAGCTGCTTTAGGGGCTTTTCAAGTACTCAGTCTTGGCTGTTTTTTATCTGTTCTGCGTTCTGGCTCTAGCCGCCTGCATACCGGCACCAGTACATTGTCATGTGGATCCGGATGCAAGGTTGAGATCATGTACCGGTAGGCTTACTGGAAGGCCCAGAACAGCAAACTATGCAAAGAATTGGCTCAGGGGAAGCCAAGAGATCAGATAGTCGAGTGGAATCGAATCGATTCCATTCCATTCCTATGTACTGTCTTAGCTCCCGGCGGTACGGTATTGGGTATTGTCTTCCTATCTCAGCATTCAGCAGCTATTCATCACTCAGCACTCCTTCAGGCATCAGCACTCCTTCAGCACAAGAGCTGCAGAAGAAAGTCGCAAGAGCTGTCGCAAGTCGCCATGGAAGAAGCTGCAATATTTTGTTTAAAGGACTGGATGTCACATGCATCGCTGCGTTCTCTTCTGTACGCATACTATTAATAGTACATGTAGTTTCTAGCAGAGCAGCTTTGGTCACTCCAAAGAATGCTGGAAAGTCGCCTCCTCACTTCCCCATAAGTCATTTGATTTAAATGAACTAGAGACTAGAGCCCTTCTTCGGAAAACGCTTTTTACACCCGCCCAAAGCAAAAATCGATGTTTCGTCTGTGAGTACGCCCAGAATCGAGCCAATTGCTCCACTCGAACTGCCTTTGCAAGCAATCCATACGACACTGGAGGAAACGATTGCCATAGATCCCACATCGCACGCACACCATGCCTGTACCCTGCACAGCTCTGCACACAAGCTTATAGCCGCGGAATCTTGGGTCAGCTGCTGGGTCCCACAAGAAGTCCGGCATTACCGCAAGGCGAACTTGGTGGCAGAGACAGAGGCTGTTCGTTGGTGTTGACTGTTCCAGTTCTCTGAGGAAGGATAGTCGCTGCAAGCGCAGTTCAGATCTTGGGTGCATATGTCTTCCTCCACAGCATAGGTTGCCTCTTGCACCTCTACCTGGTAAATACTACCTCAGCTTCGAGGCGGCGGTGAATCAGTGCAAATAGGAGGGGCGCCGTGCTCCTTGCTCCTTGCTCCTCACCTGACTGACTCTTTTCTTTTGACTATTCAGCATTTCAGCATCGCACACTCTATGATCTCTCTGGAATCGAATCCGCGCAAACATGTTCTTTTCTCTTTTCATTTGAGGCGGAGAATTCTTGGATTCTTTTCATGCTGCCTTCTCGACACTGGGACTGAGTACATGTACCGGTAGCCTTTGCGGGCTCACTTGCCGATTTGAAATCCCAGGTCTCTAGCTAGTGGGGCTCAGCACGGTAGCCCCAACCCCCAATCCCCACCAGAGCCACCCAAAAGACCAGTAGCTAGATGTTGCCTTGACAAAGAAAATGCATTGCACAGACTGGCTGGAGGCAACAATGGCTGGACAACACACCACGGGCGTTGTTCTATGCCAAGAAACTTGCAAGCAGCTTCTTCAAGTGACAGTAAAGGCAGATCCGATGCATTGAATGCTGTACTACAGCAAAACCGAGCTTGCAATTGAGCCTGCATGCAATCCCACCAATTTACCGCTGCGTTTGAAGCTGCTCGCCGGTCACTCCAATCGTGCAAAGAATGCTGGAAAGTCGCCTCCTCACTTCCCCAATAAGTCACTTCGACGACTACTGTACAGCCTTCTTCAGAAAAAGCTTTGTACAGGCTTCTTCAGAAAAAGCTTCCGCCATAACCCGTGAACTGCTACGGTAGTAGACCGCCTGTGTCCACTCGATCTACCTACTTTAGTACGGTACGAGACACGAGACCAGCGCAGCAATCCATACAAAACTGGAGGAGGAAACAATTGCCTTAGATCACACATCGCGCACCATACGCTGCAAGCTCAGCCGCGGAATGCAGGGTCAGCTGCGATACTGCAACACGAACTTGGAGGCTGTTCGTTGGTGTTGACGTGTTGACTGACCCGGTTCTTTGAGCAAGGATAATGGTTCCGCAAGCTGTAAGTGGCTGAAATTCAGTCTTGGGGTGCCTTCCTTTTTGTTGGGCTGGTACACACAGCTTCAAGGCTGCGGTAAATCGGTGCGAATGCGGGCCTTGCCCGTGACCTGATTCTTTTCTTCTGACTATACTTATCCCCCTGGAATCCGAGCAAACAGGCTTTCATTTGAGAACTCTTTTTATGCTTCTCTGCACTGGAACTGAGTAAGCCTTCAGAACCTGCCTTGGCCTGAACATCCATGGGAGCAGGTCGTTTGTGGGCCACAGATACGGTACCCCCCACCAAAGCTAGCTAGCCAGACGTTGCCTCGACAAAGAAGAAAAGGCATTGCGCAGACTGGATGGACCGGCTGGACAACACAGCAAGGGCGTGAATTCCTGGGAGCTGCAAGCAGCAATTCTCTTCGAGTGCCAGTGAAGGTCCGATGCATTGAATGTACTAGTCCAGCGTCCAGCCCCGCCAGGTATTGGTGGCCACCGAGGACTCAACAAGTTTAAGAAGATCCAAGACACACTGCTGTTCAAAAACTTGGCATGCCGGTACTGTGTGCTTCAAAGTCACAAGGATGGATGCTGATGGCGAAAGCCAGGTTGAGATCAGGATCATTCCAACGTTCTGATCCATCGACTCGTGGCCCCGAGACGTCATCGGCGCTCTCTTTCCCTTGCGGAACAAAAGCCCCAGTAAAAACCACACCGTCATTGAAGTGACACCATCTCAGAGTTTGCAACCACCAATAAATGCCATTTCCGGGCAACTACAGATGTACGATACATGTTCTTATTCCTCTACTAGAGACCCCTCCTGCCATACCAGTACCTTGCAAGACTCCCATCTGTGCTGGCCCTGCTGGTAATGGCTGTACTGCTTGGAATTTCCAGTACCGTCCCTTTCACATCTAATCTACAATTGGCCTGGTCATCTGTTGGAACAATCAGGTTGAGGAAAATCAATGAAAACTATGTATGATGATTTTTTAATTAAGTAGCCCAAGTAAAGCACCGTCTCCAGTCTGGCACATCCTCAGAAGCATTGTTGAAGTTCCTTGCAGAGGTTGCAACCAAGCCTCAAATGAGGTCTAACTTCTCGGCCGCAACCTTCGCAATCAGGTGAAGTTATGAAACCCAGAGGGCAATCTCACCAAACCTCTAATCGTTGCCACCTTGCGAAGGAGAATAAGCTGGGCTTGTAGGAGAGTAGGCCGGACTGGCAGGCGAATAGGCAGGAGAGGTGGGAGAATAGGCAGGAGATGTTGGAGAGTAAGCAGGGCTTGTGGGGGAGTAGGCTGGACTCGTGGGGGAGTATGCAGGAGAAGTCGGGCTGTAGGCTGGTGAGGCCGGCGAGTATGCAGGACTAGTTGGAGAATAGGCTGGGCTAGTGGGTGAGTACTGTGGGCTCGTAGGGCTGTATGCTGGGCTAGTCGGGCTGTACTGAGGAGATGTGGGCGAATACTGGGGACTCGTCGGGCTGTAGGCCGGAGATTTTGGACTGTACGCAGGGGATGTAGGAGAGTATGCTGGAGAGGTTGGCGAATATGCTGGGCTGGTTGGGTTGTAAGCTGGACTTGTGGGGGAGTAGGCTGGGCTTGTCGGAGAATATGCAGGCGAAGTCGGACTGTAGGCCGGAGACGTGGGGCTGTACTGGGGAGAGGTTGGGGAGTATGCAGGGCTGGCTGGACTGTAAGCCGGAGACATCATTGCAGCTCTATTGTCGTCGCCACTTCCGTAACTCCCACTAGCAAAGCCTGAGCCATAGCTGCCGCTGTCGGGAGAATAGGCTGGAGAGAAACTGGCGCCACCAACCGCTGGACTGAATGCTCCATCTCCAACGAAGGGAGACATCTCAGAGCCCCCTCCAACCATTGGACTACTCGCAAATGGCGTGCTGGCGTATGGAGTGGCAGATCCAGTATTATTGGAACCGACAAGTCCCAGATCCTTGTTGTCTCCAAACTCGTCAACCACAACTTCGACGGCTTCACGGACAACCTTTTCTTCGTCCAGGAGCAAATCGATGCATCCTGTCCCGACGCGAACAAGTTGTCCCATCATAATGTTCTCTGTGACGCCTCTCAAGATTTCGTCCTCCGCATACACCGCTGCGTCCATCAACATATCAACCGTCTCTTCGAAAGAACAGCGAAGAAGAGGACCTGAATCGACTCGATTGATTCCGTGACGATCGATGGCCATCAAGTGCCCCTGCATCGTCATCACGTCTACCAGACAAGCCAAGTGACGGTAGTTCACATAGGAACCGTCAAAACTGATGACATTGCGAAGCTCCCCGAGAAGAGCGCCACGGACTCCTTCGATACCGAGAGTGACGAAAACCTCAACGATATCATTGCTCGTAGTTCGTGTTGCGTCAACATAATCAATTCCAAGAACAGCCATGAGATTCGTTCCATCGGTCTCCATGACCCACTCATCCTTCATACCAAAACCGGCGTTGTCGTCCCATGTGGAGCGTTTGCCCTTTCGCATGAACACTTTCTTGACATGATCCACCCCTCGTAACTTGAGGCTCTTCAACATGCTCTTTTCCAATCGCTTCAAGAACATGTCATCCTCTTGCCCGACCTCAACGTCTTCATCCTGTTGATTGGATAGACCAAGACCATGCTCATCTACTCCGGCTCCACCCCCAACGTCCATGCCTGTGCTGTTGACCGGAGTATCATTGACAATTCGCACTCTAACCACCAATTCCTCGGCGTTGTCGTCGGTGACTTCAACGTGAAGATCCGACCCATACTCTGCCTCGATTTCCCTGGAGATCTCCGGCATCTTAACACGTTTCACGTCGACCAGAGACTTGTCGAGCTCGATGCGCAAGACCCACGGGCTCAGGCGGCGCAAGTCATCGTCAGTCTTGTCCGTAATCTCATAGAACTCCTTGACAAACTCGCGATCGTTTGCCACAACACTGTTCCTGACATCAGGGTCGTAGTATATTTCCGTTTTCTTCACCACGTTTCCCAGGACGGTGAATTCAAGAGTGGAAACCACCAACTCCGCAATGTTCTCGTCCCCACTGACCTCCTCTTCCAAGTACACAGTCAGGCCGGGCGTCTTGGGCGTTTTTGCCACGTTGATAATTTCCTTCAGACGAGGCACACCGAGTGTCACATTCTTCGCACTCACACCAGCGTAGTGGAATGTGTTGAGCGTCATCTGAGTCGCAGGCTCTCCGATCGACTGCGCCGCCAACACTCCCGCCATTTCTCCAGCGCTGACCTTGGCCACATTGAAGCGAGTTTCAATTTCACCCACAACCCAGTCCAAGGCGGCCTTCGACAAGCGCCAGTCTTTCAGAACTCGCTTGGAGGCCAGCATGCCTCGGATCAAAATACGGTAGTTCGTAATGGCGTTGTTTTGAGCTTCCACGGAAAGCGGATCATCTCCAACCACGACAATCAAACGGTCCAGCAACGCCGTGTACTTCTCAATAATATCACGGGGGTGCAAATCAGACGGCTGTCCCATGTCAATCTTAAATTGTCGTTTCGAGTTCTCCAAGACACGTTTAATGTTGCCGGGTGCGTAGGAGCTGTCATCGGATTCTCTACCAGCCTCACGGTTGGCCATGACGATACGCAGGACGGCCTGATCTTCGCGTAAAGTCTCCGCCTCTCGATCCAACATGAGCTGCACTTCGGGGTCGCGCTTGCAATCCTCGAGGACATCAGCTTCCATGTAGGGGATGTTCTGATCATCATAGCCAAAGTCTGGGTCTGCCGAGTTCATGACAAATTTCTTGTCGAATTCGTTCTTTTTCAATGTCAACGAATCGAATGTCTGCTTTTCGATCCACACGGCGTCCATACCGTCTTCTCCGTACAAGAACTGGACGATCTGACCACCGCTCGTCCTGAGAGTACCATCGTATCGCGCCATGACGGTTTCCATAGCCTTGACCAGACGGCGCTGAATGTATCCAGTCTCGGCGGTCTTACAAGCGGTATCAATCAAACCCTCACGACCACCCACTGTTGTTGTGAACGGCCAAGCAAGAACAATCATTGAGTGCGATGCGCAGAAAAATAGCAGTCACTCTTCATGATGTAAAACAATCATCATCCACTGTACTGTACTTACTGGCATGGAAGAAAAATTCTTGCGGACTCAAACCACGCAGGTACGAGTTCTCCACAAATCCACGCGACTCACTTCCGATATCGTCCTTACTGAAATGGGGCAGACTGCGCTTGCGGAAACCGTAGGGGATACGCTTTCCTTCCACATTCTGTTGTCCGACACAGGCAATAATCTGCGAGATATTGATGAAGGATCCCTTGGATCCAGCAGTCACCATGGCCTTGACCGAGTTAGTCTCGTCCAAACTCGACTGGGCCGACTTTCCGGCGTGATCACGAGCCGTGTTGAGAACCTTGTTGACCAACTGTTCAAACGACTCGAGCATGGTCCGTCCCGGCTGGATTTCCAACTCTCCGGATTGTCCCTGTCGGACAAGATCTTCGACTTGTTTCTTGGCCTTGTCGATGGTACTCTCAATCTGTTTCATGGTAGCATTATCGGCAATCGCATCGATCGCTCCAATGCTAAAGGAATAATTGAGGATCCAGTGGTTGACAAGCTGCTGGATGGCCAACATGAATTTGGCATTATTAGCGTATCCGGCATCCAACCACGCCGTGTGGATCAGACCTCCCATACCACTCCCGACCGTTTTCTTGTCGACGGTTCCTTCCAACAATTCTCCCTCTTGGATTGTGACCAAATGATCATACGCATTAAAATTGCATGGTTTTCCTTTGGGTGGTCCGCTGTTGGCTTTGGATTTGAGATTGACCTTGGGTAGAATCTGACTCAACAACTGTTTCCCGGTCCATAGTTCCTTGGGTTTCAAAATGGCGGGAATGGGGATTCGTCCGTCCCATTCCTTGACCCACATTAACATGTTGAAACACAAATCCTTTTCGATAAAGATACTGCGTTTGGTCATTTTCTGTACGGCAATGAGGGAATCTTGAATAATCCCCATGACGGGCCGATTGGACTGTCCCGATACGACGACACGCTGGGACCACATCATCAACTCGGCTTCGGCTCGTGCCGGCAACGACTGCGGCACGTGCAGATTCATTTCGTCGCCATCAAAATCGGCATTGTAGGGCGCCGTACACGAAAGGTTAAGCCGAAAGGTGGACCAATCGAGTACCTTGGCCATGTGTCCCATAATGGACATTTTATGCAAACTGGGTTGTCGATTGAACAGTACGATATCATTGTCTCGCAAATGCCGTTCGACAATCCATCCATGATCGAGCAATAGTTCGGACTTGTTTTTGACATAGCGCAAATCGATGCGCGTACCATCCGTTCGAATAATGTGTTTGGCTCCGGGATGGGTGGTCGGTCCGTTGGCGACCAGTGCCGACAATTGCGCGACATTATATGCCGTGACACGTTCGGGTACGGTCAAGTTCATGGCGACACTGCGGGGGACACCGACTTGGGTAATTCCCAAATTGGGATCGGCCGTAATAACGGTACGGGCCGAAAAGTCGACACGCTTTCCCATTAGATTTCCACGAATGCGTCCTTCCTTTCCCTTTAATCGCTGGACGACGGTTTTGAGGGGACGCCCACTGCGTTGGGTGACTTGTGGCATGCCACGAATTTCGTTATCCATAAAGGCAGCGACATTGTGCTGCAGGGACTGTTCGAATTGTTCGACAATCAAATTGGGTTCACCATTTTGAATAGCATTGGTCAATGCAATGTTACTCTTGATGACATTGACCAATTGATGCGTCAAGTCATCTTCCGACGACATGGCTCCCGCCGCAACGACACTGGGCCGCACGTGCATGGGTGGCACGGGCAGTACTTGGACGAGTAACCAATCGGGACGTGAATGATGGGGATTCAAGCCCAACAACATGACATCTTCTTCCCGGACTTGTCGTAGCAACTTGACAATGGTGGCTCCACTGAGGAATTGTTTGGAATCTCCCATCGACGCTCCAGGCCCCGTGGCGGCTCCTTCTGGGAATTCTCCTTCCAGCGAGAGTGCGACCTTTGTAATTTTGGGTTGCATGCCCTGACAATGATCGCACTGTTTCTTGTTGCGTAGCAAATCGTGGAGTGCTTCGAGTCGCTTTTTCTTGTGTTTGATCGTCTTGCATTTCTGGAACTTGAATTCATCGTCTCTCATTTTGAAGCGAGCGCAATGATAACAGACGCATCGCACAACTTTCATACAGACTTGAATAAAGCCTTGATGATAGACCGGCCGCGCCAATTCCAAATGACCAAAATATCCCGGATCGGACTTGTCGTGGAGATTCCCGAGCCGAGGATCGTTGGCACCGCCATAGACGGGTTGTCCGGCAATGTGCGTCTCGTAGCGCGTCACTCCGGCGGGAATCTTCTTGCCATTGACGGTAATGGCTTGTGTCACACTGTACTGCTTGAGTTCTTGCGGATTGACAATTCCAAATTGGAGTTTCTTGACGCGACGCAAACGGACACGAGAGTAACCAAAGTTCTCCGACACCATGCCCAGCGACGTGGCTCCTGCTTGATGCGCCATATTGAATGTTGTTGTTTAGCTGAATGAAAATGAATGGACGAAAAAATGTAGATTGTGGATTGTTTGTATTTTTTGGTTTGGTTTGTTTGGAAATCAATGAATTGTCGTGTATTGAAACGTGCGGTGGTCACTGCCAAGTAAGGCAACCACGCAAGAATACGTAGCGTAGTCCAGCCTCGCCGATGATGAAAGTAGTAGAGCACCCAAAGAGGAGAGCAGCAAGATGACTCAAGCCTGGTCTTTCTCCTTCTACTACTTTCCTGATCCGCTGGACTTGATGCAGGCGGTTTGAAAGACGTAGACTATTGTTCGCTAGTACTGTAGCTAGTAGTGAGAGGCAAGGGACCGATCTGAACTGCAAAAACAAGAGGACCTCCAAGGACAACAACAACAACCTTTGGAGGTTGATGGCGATGAAAGTGAGATGTGAGATGCCTCTGTCGTCTTGCTGTTTGGGGCGGCTGTTTGGGGGCGGGTTTCACAGAGAGCCGCTGAGCGTCTCATTTATTGAACGAAAACGGTGGGACAGACAGACGTCAAAGTGAGATATTTTTGTCCTCAGAGATACCGGTAGGTACAGTGTACCAGGTACGATACTAGCTACTACGGGTCAGGCCGAATCTTGGTTCCTGGGAAGAAGAGAAAAAAAAGAAAGAGGAGAGGATTGTAGTCGCAGATGACTTCCTCTGTCACACCCTCATTCACCTCTAATAAAATTTGTCACACCCTCTAACTCTACAAGCATTCTAAGACGTTCTTTTATGCCTCTTTCGTATGTTAAACTGTACTTCGTACGGGGCAGTGAAATCCAACGGTCCAAATTTCTCACAAGCAATCGAAAAAAGCTATTTAGGGCTCGAAATATTGCTCCTCTAACTCTATCCTCCGTCCGGTGCACTTTGGTGAGCGTGGAGCACAAAACATCGAAAACCAATGCCATCGAAATAGACTTCCACCATGACCGGAGGTCCAAAGACGCGGCCAAAACAGATGGGCGAAGCCCAATGGCGCTTTGTGCAGAAGACACGTAACGCCATTGACAATGATGGCCCAGGTTTTTTCTCCAGAACTGGCCTAGGGAAAGATTGGAAGAATATTACTCCATCGGTTGGAGGTCGCTACAACAGCAAAATCCTGGATAAAAAGGCAAAGAAGTCCACAGTGGAACAATTCTATGTCAAACCAATAGCAGCATGGGTTCCTCACCGTCTCATTGAGAACCACATTCCCTGTTGCCCCCACTGTAAAACGAGGAAGCATGTCGATGTGGTGAAAGCCAGGTGGCAGAATTGCCCCAAAATTCTATATGGAATATCGCGGAACAAATATTTGGACACGATGCTGTACCCTTGCACCAAGTGCGGCCGAAGATTTGCGGGCTACAACAAGGAATCGATGAAGCTGGATTCTTCCCTCTACTATGGGTATTTTACTTTCTATCTGGGTCATGGTTTCGGGGTGGATGAGGAACTGCACCGACTGATCATTGAGAGTGCATCCACAGAAGCTACTGCTGGCATTGTGAAGAAGCTAACGAGAATGGCATACAGCGCTTATTGCGAAGATCATGGGCTCTATCTTAATGCAATTGGAGCAGACAAAATTCGTCCAGTGAAAAAGCAGAAAACCATCAGAGACATGATAGTGGTGACACCGGACAGCGACGTCCAGCGGCTCATGAATACAAGGAACAGGGCCTCCCATGACTTAACCAAAGCCAGAATGGCACATGACACAGCCCAAGGAAGGGCAGATGCCGATTACGCATTCAAGAACATGCTGAGAAAGAAAGACGATCGTAACATCCATGGCATGCGCAATTTTCTGCCAGGGCTTGGGGGAACAAAGCTCCGCAGGCTGATTTCGAATGGCATCGATTCATGTCATGAATTGCTGAGTGCCGACCCTCGGGAATATCCCAATTTAAAACCCTTGTCAAGGTGGAAGCGGCTGGTTGCTGACTTTTATACCAAGCTGAGAGCTGAACGAGATGCAAAGAGAGATGATGTCACCAGTGCCATTGCGCGGTACGACCATGCTGTGGATGTGTTGCGTGAATTTTACCAAGCGAATCCCCAAGGAGAAATGGAGGAGGAGGAGGGAGATAATGGGGAGGTGGAAGCGGTCCAGAGACCAGTGCCCTTTTCAGAATTCGGTGACAAGCTGAAATATAATGGCAGAGTCCTCTCGAAGTATAGACTTGACAGCATGGTTCAATCTGTCTTCCGACACCGAAAGGAGTTTCAAGACTTGAAGATGCGGGGATTGACTGCCAGGCTTCTGAAGATTGACTTTAATTACAAGTTGGCTCAAAAGATCCGGGTGTACACCAAGCAAGGTCAGAGCTTCAAGCCTTACAAGTGCATCATTACCATCCAAAATGAAGATGGACTCACAGTCTTCTGGAAAGCATTGAAGCACTCTGAATCCTTCAGCGAAATCAAAGAAGATCTTGTGCGGCTGAGGGATCGACTGAACAGAAACAACCATGAAGCCAACAACAGTCCCTTCGGACCAATGGAGAATTCGGTGAAAGTTGTGTATGTCGACAACTGTTGCAATGTCAAGCTAATACTTCGCCAGATCTTTCCACAGGCCCTTATCAAGTTGGATCCCTTTCACTGGTTGAAGAGATGGAATGACCTTCTCCTAAATCCATCTTCAGTCCAAGCTGGTATCTTCAGGGCGCTGATGAGTCGGGCTCTCTTTAATGTTAGTTCTGATGAATATACCAGAGCCAAGGAGAAGCTTGAACGCAAGTTGAAGAGAGAACCAACTGTGAAGCAAGTGTTGAAGGAAGCGAATTCCATCATACCAGATCCGGTCACTCTTAGAAGCAACATTGAGTCTGTCTTCAAATATATTCAGGCGAAAGACATGGATACATATGTGAAGCTTTCCACCTGGCAAGAAGGAGACACTTCGCCCAAGCCCAAGTTGTTTATGAAACAGTGGAAGTGCCAACAGGTGGTCCGCAACCAGCTGGTTCATGTTGACTGTGGCTGCCTAAGTGATCCACCCAGCCGCCTTGTCAATATCTTCAGAAGAAACCCAGTCACTGATGTCACCTACGTGGCAAGGGGAACCAACACTAATGAGCGCGACAATTTGGATCTCGCCACCAAGATCTTGCATGCAACTACAGTTGGTAAGTGATGAACCAGTCGGCGATGACATCAACTTGGTGCATATTGGGCTAACCACTGACCGAATTACTTAGGCCTTCAAAGAGGAGAGCGCCTGTGCTGCTGCTTCTTTGAGCAGAAGAATCAACAGAAGTCAGTTGCCAGGATGGGCGCCACAGATCCAGTCATTTATGACACAGAGCGGCTGCTTCTACTGAACAGTTATGCATCCTGCATTGGTTTCACGAAAGAGGAATTGCCTTATGATGTTGTGGTTCCACGGAAGCTTCATCAGGATTCCCAGGAGTTCATGGGATTTTGTTATGAACCGGTGACTCTAACAGAAGTGTCTAATCCAGCCGATTTAACAGAGGTCACCTATGGCAGCGACGATAGTGGTGGAGAGGACAATGCAAATGAAGAAAGCGTCCCGGAGCATGTACAGAATGTCGACAGTGTTTTGGAGAGGCTACTTGGCGATGACTACGACATGGAGGTTTTCGCCAGTGAAGAAGAGTACTTAGAGGCACAGCGACAAGAGGAAATTCAGCGACAGCAACAACAGCAGGAGGCTGCTGCGGAGGCTACCCATGAAGCTGCAGAGAACAATGACAATACTGTCAATCGGGAGCTAATCGAACGCGAACTACAGAAGATATTACCCGCTGACAATGGCCACGAGAGCACTCTGGACGCATTCCACCGGCTAACTGGAAAGTGTGCATGGATTCCTTTCAGGGCTCCTGATAGTTCCTGCGTCGCTACTGAAATTGACAAGGCAGAAGCAGAGCTCTTCAATGTGTTGGTACAAAGGTACAACCGGAATGTCAGCACTGGTCCAACAAGCTTCAAAGCATTTGAGAGAGATTGGAACGCAGAGGTTTCCCGTCGTTTCAAACTGTGGACGTCCCAAGGAGACCATGCCATTGTTCAGCTTCGGTATAAGACAAGGCTTCTCTTACAGGAGCATTTTGATAAGGTGGAAGAACTGAAAAGTCTTGAAGCCGTGACACCAAGAGATGACCAAGACAGAGAACAGCTTGACTTGGAACTTCGCGCGAACAGAGGTCGTCTGGAGACTGCATTGGCACAGGACGTATTGCCTCCACGGTTGCAGGGTAATGGTGTCACTCCATTTGGTGCACCGACAACCTTGAACAGCGAAGTGATGGTTGGTGCCCTCACTGGTACATCCAATCCTTCCACAACTGGCGTTCCCTTTCAAGTTGGTCTTGTTGCAGTACCGACAACCGCTCCACCAAGGCCCACTAGGAAGCGATTCAAGAGCAGGAAGTACTGCCGCAAGTGTGGATTCCTAAAAAAGGATCATATAGTGTCTCATGAGGGAGTTGCGGCGACTTGCTCAAGAGACTATTGTGGAAGATGCAGGCAACTAGAGAGGTTCCATATCAACACCGGCTTTGGCCAGTTCTGTACAAATGAGGTGCACAGCATGCAGGCCTCTACTGTAGCGGATTGGTATGAAACTGTGGTAAGTGGCAATATTTTACTGGTTGACTACTTGGATAACAAACACCAACAGTTTCTTTTCCTCTTTCAATTTCCAGCACTAGTAACCGGCTCAGGTCCATCTCCAAACATCCAAGGCTGCTCATGAGTTTCAAGGACTCCATTCATATGGATATGGTTGATGCACCCCTCCACATACTCATCAGACATACAGGCAAGCTGCTTGAAGGTCCAGGGGGTCCCATCATTGTAGTTCCTGTCAAAGAAGTCATTCCAAGCTTCACAGATCATCTTCTCCTCACTGGACAACCTACCAAAGGCAGTGACACACATCTCTTTGACAAGCCACCAGATGCACTCTTTGTACATGTTCTTCTCCTCCACAGCAAGAGGATAGCTCACAATGTCATTACAGGTGCCAATGACATTCTGGTACCAGTCAACACTCTTCTCCATCCCCCAAAACTGCATGGCGTCAATGATTCCATTCATTTTGGGAGTGACAACTTTGGCCCTTCCACTAATGATGAGCTCCTCGAGGATGGGTGCCTCAAAGCAGGTGACTGGCACACAATACACAGGCAAATAGTCAGTTCGCTCCTGGTGCCTCTCCTCCAAGAATACATACTTAAGAGAGATGCTGTTTCGGGTAGCCTTCAGCTCATTGAAAGGATAATGCGGCACAGTTAAAAGAAACTTTGAAAAACCTGCACTAGTGTTGAACCTCATAGTAATGTACTTGTAGTTGTTCTTTTTAAAGACTTGACGACTTTCAATTTTCAATGACTCGACGATCGATAGAGGTACGGATCTTATTTTGTGAGAAGCTTTTCCCTCCAAAAGAAGGATACGAGCGCACCTTTTCTGCGCACCTTTCCTGCGCACCAATGCTGCGGATTTAAGCGGCAGTTGATTCCTGTAACGCATAACTCTGTAATTTTTGATTCACTATGACCAATTGTACTGAGGGTCAAATTACTTAGGACGAATTGGGTAGGACGGTGTCATATAGAAATTTCTGTACTATCCTACAAGACCTGTACTCACCATGACCCTACTACGAGTAGTACATGTACTAGCTAGTACCGGTACTTCCTCCTCAAGCCCCTACCTGCAGTATGTATGCCCGTGAAATTGGCTATGGAATGCTTTGGTATGGTCCTCGGCTGATCTTGGAGGTCATTCATTATTTAGAGATCCTAAAGTTTGCACTTGAAAATGGTTGAGTTGGGCGTCGGGGCATCAGCAAAGGTGGGCATGAGGCTGAATCTCCCGGCTTGTCCTTTGCTTCCCATCGAACTGTGTAAAACAATCGGTGAAGCTGGTCCTAAAGTTTGCTCATGAAAATGGTTGGGGTGGAGTGTAACATTCAGTGAACCGAACCTCATGGGCAGCTGCACCTGTACGGTACTGGTACTGATCCAAGGTCCAGGTAACGTTTTCATCACTCTATGGTAGCTAAGCAAGCAACCTTGGATTGAGAACGCCAAACAATCGAGTGGGTGTATCTTCATCATATATTATGTATAATTAATTTTCAGTCTCATACATCTTCGGTGCTGCAGATCTGACACCGGCATCGTTGGTTGTTCTTTCCACCAATGCAACTAACTTTCGACGGGTCGATCTGGTTGGCACTTGATGTTGGTGGGGTGGTGGGTGGGGTGGGGGTGGTGGCATGACCAAGATCCAACACCATTGGAGTCGAGTCTTCCATCCAATCTCACGGAAAGGCAATCATCCAGCCCAGGGCGCGTTCAAGCAGAAGGGAAGGTTGAACTGTAGCAGTCAGCAGCCAGAATGTGAGAAATGGATGCCATGAGTATGCCACACCAGCACCAGTCCAACCCGACTTTACCCTTCTGCAAAGATTGCTGAGAGATTCACCGCAGTAAGGTGTTGTTGCACGGCTTGGCATCGAATCACGCCACTTGTCTTGACACACAGAAACACGGTTGGTAGTATCAGAGACTCGACTCGTCACTCTTCCGTGTGGTTAGTTAGAAAGCTATCTGGTTCTGTCCAAACCCAAGATATTCTTTCACAGCATTACGCTTCCCGGACATGGGCAAGGCCGCAAACGGTTTCTTCTTGGGCGACGTCATGCCAAGGAGTTCGGGAATGTCCTGCATCACATCGGGTAATTCATCAAAGGATGGGAGGTCCAGTTCTTTTTGAATGTCTCCAAAAAAATCGCCCATGACACTGCCTCCGCTTCGGCTTCTATCGTCTGCTGGTCCGTAGTCAAACCCTTTATCCAGTTCGGGCCCAAAGGACCAGATTTTCGGATCGATATCGTTCTTTCCAAACAACGCCTTCAAGGACAAACGCGTGTTGTGAACACGATTGTAGGTGTAATAGTTCACCTCTGGATCATGGTCAATGATATTTCCTTTGGTGTATCGCTTACAAGCACTGCGATATTGCTTGGGATAGAGCAAATGCTGCACCCAGACTTCATGGACAATCAAGGATGGACTCAGCAGTTTGGCATCCCAGTCCTCTTGTTGCAATTTAACCTTCATGAATTGGAGATATCCCTTCATGGCGCGATTGGTAAAATCTTCGCTCCAGTTATGGATCCGCATCAATCGTGGCCGAAGAGACTTGGGGACGGCAAAGAGAAAGTCCACCTCGGATGCCGACCGCGGCGAGTACTGCGAGCCGTACTGCGAATCATCGTCGAACGGGGACAAGACGTAGTCCAGTAGATTATTCATGATGGATGGATGGATGGAGAGATGGAGGGAGGGAGGGAGGGATACTCAATCAATCAGCCAAGCAAGAAATAGAAGTAACGAAAAGTGTTTCCAATGTGCAAGACAGAAATCGCCAAAAGCTACCAGTACAGTGGATATATCCCACAAAAGATATCTACTGGTAGCTTTTGGAGACGTTTATAAGACTGGTCCGACAGAAAAAAATAGACGCGAGAGCTCGATCTTGGCCAAAAAATGAGGTTGGAGCGGTGGCAACGGTCGGGAGTGAATTTCACTCAGGGTTCGGTGAGTTACTAAGCCTTTTTAGCGTTAACCCTGAATTGCAAATAAGGGTTAGCGATGAAGCTCGTGTGAGGTGATTTGCGTCGCGTCGCACTCCCGCTTCCCATGCATCGGATATCAGATCATTCCAATTGGATGCAATATAATCACTGCAATCATTCCGGCGAAGAGATGATAGCAGCAGAACGGACTGAGAGAAAACTACAGTAAATCCCTTTGTTCTCGACAGCTCTACTGTACGGTACCAGTACCAAAGCAAGATGAGCAGCAGCAATCACGGCGAAGACAAAAACAACGGCGAGACCGAATCCAAGAACATTTTGACCAGTGGGGAATCTGAAAATAGGCACTTATCCTCACCAACTGAGATGTCTATTCCTTCCAAGCAACAACACCATGTCTCATCAAGTGTTTCAGACGGAAATTCCCCAAAAGCGCTTACATGTATAACAGCGGCACGGCCGAAATCAACACAGACTTCCAGATTCCTATCCAGTGCCACCATTGGGAATGTGGTTGATGATGATGATGATGGTGCTCTTGATGAGCTAGACATTATCAAGATTGCAGAAGCACGGGCAAAAGGAGAGTCCTTGGGCTTGTCGTCATCTGAAATCAACCATCAAGTGGCTACTGGGACCACCAATAGTGAACGACCGTCTTCCAGGCCCACCGCATCAACACTCAGAGGAGGCAGACGGGATCCTGCCGAGCCACATCAGAGAATAGGCACGGCATTATCAGCCAACAATAATAATGGTCTGGAAGAGGGAAGCAACAACGTCGAATTGGCAAAATTTTTGGAGGGAAGGGAATTGGCAAAAGTTGTGGAAGCAAGGGAACGAGCTCTGACCCGGCAACAACAACAGCAGCAACACACCGAAACTGATGGCAATAGCCAGCAAGGTCAAGTCATGATGTCAACAGACAGAGAACATCAATACTCAACGTTTGCGCAAGGGATTGTAAGACCTGCGCCAGCGCAAAATACAAATAGCAGACCGATTCTCAAATTTTTACGCAAGAGAGCACCTGCCGTCAACCAACAAGAACAGTTGGAAGAAGAAATCAACACCAATGGTCTATGCAACGAGCATATGGGTCAGGCTGAAACAAACCAGAATCCAGTCATCAATGAAAGCCAACCAGGCGCCTACTCGGGGGCTCCTGGGCTTCCCCTTCAACGGAATCAGAAGCCGAGGTTTTCTCTGATAGGAATTGTGGGGACAACGCCATCATTTTCACCATCCTCGGAAATGGAGATATCTCAAGAATCCACAGAGTTTCAATCTACAAACATGCCTGGCAGTCAAACTGGTTTGATGGTGGCCAATCTTGTTGCTGACCTAAGCCAGGAAAATCTACAGTTGGCAGAAGAATTACAATCAAATGGGAATGATATTGAAGAGCAAAAGGTTGAGAGGAGTAAGCGTGCCATGCTGACTGCGTCAAAATGGCTGCTCTTGGGAGTCGTTCTCGTTGTGGCAGTTGTCCTGGCAGTGGTGCTAGGCACTAGAAATAAGTCAGCAACCCCAGCAGAGGAGTTTGTATCAAGTGTACCAACAACATCTGCGATGCCCTCCGTCTCCCCATCATCAATGCCAACCGAGACACTACTGTCAGCCAGGTATGAAATTAAGGGGCTTTCAGAAAGTACGGCTGAGGCAATTGGCAGGCCTGGCTCCCCACAACAACAGGCTTATGCCTGGACATTTCAACATCCAGAATTTGATGAAATGCCAAATTGGCGGAAGCAGCAGTTGTTTGCGCTGGGAACCTTCTACTTTTCGTTTGAAAATTGGCCATATGATTACCAGTGGATGGATTACAGCAATACAGAATGTTCATGGACAACATACTTGGATTCGCTTCAGTCTCAACCCGAAGACTCAGATTACTTTCCAGAAGGGTATTCGAATTATATATGTACCAGTTCAACAGTATCGTCCATTGGTCGACTAAATCCTTTTGCCTCCAACTGTGATGAGGAAGGTCATTTCAATTTTCTCAAGATCAGGTTGTTGGGAGTTCAAGGGTCCATACCACCAGAAATTTTTCTCCTCACACACCTCACAATATTCGATTTGCGTGAAGCTGGCATCACTGGAACTATCCCTTCAGAGATCGGCATGCTTTCCCTATTGACAAACTTGAACTTACACAGCACTGGGATCTCAGGTGCGATCCCATCAGGCATTGGACAGACCAACCTGACTGGGCTCTACTTGAATGACAACGCCGTATCCGGCTTCTTGCCCTCTGAGCTGGGCTTGTTACCCTTCCTTAAACGCATGGATTTGCAGTCTAACAACATTTCTGGCACATTGCCAGCTGATTTGGCAAATTGTACCAGTCTGGTTAGACTAGATGCCAGCAACAACTCCCTGGCAAATTTATCTTCCGAAATTGGGCTTCTGACAACAGTGGAATACTTGATGCTGCAAGACAATCAGATTGAGGGAACAATTCCGACGTAAGTTGCTTTGCTTGTTGGGTGTATAGACTGATCTCCACTTAATTCTGATCCAATCTTTGCATTTCTTTGGCTGGTTCTAGTGAAATTGGGTTATTGACAAGCATGTATTACTTGTTGCTTCGAGACAACACAATCAAAGGAGTGATTCCCAGGTAGGTTCCTGTTTACTTGGATGTGCAGACTGGTTTCCATTGATGGATTCTGACCAAACCTTGTTATTTCTTTGGTTTATCGTAGTGAAATTGGGCTCTTATCCAACTTGGTATATCTTAGCCTTGAGCGAAACTCAATATCAGGAGCTATCCCTTCCACTTTTGATCAGTCTAGTGTAATACAAATGGATTTGCAGGGCAATCAACTCTCTTATATCCCAAGTGAGATTGGCCTCCTTGGTAACCAGGCTGGACAGCTGGATCTAAGCAACAACCTCATACTGACTTTGCCAAGTGAGTTGTTCCTCTTGACAAGCCTTTCTGTGCTTCAGCTCCACGGCAACCGAATAGAGCAATTGCCAAATGAAATTGACCAGATGACAAATCTGGAGCCTTGCTACAACTTCTTTGACGCTTGGCTGTCATTGTCAAACAACAAGCTTTCTTCAATACCCCCAGAAATTGGAAGACTGACAAACTTGCGGACTTTCACTTTTCAACGCAATCAGATCTCATCATTTCCTGATGTAAACTGGTCTAGCTTGCCACATTTGCTGTCCATCCAGCTCTCTCACAACTTGCTTGAGTCTACAATTCCATCAGAACTTGGCCTCCTTGAAGAGCTTGTAAAGCTTGATCTGTCAAACAATGCCTTGACTGGGAGCATACCTCCAGAGTTGGGGGGGATTGCAGAAAGTGTGGAAAGATGGAACGACACACTTGGTGTGTACGTTCCACAGGAGGCACGGTGGTTTCAAACACTTATCTTGAGAAACAATCAACTAAGCGGGAGGTTACCATCAGAGCTCCTCCTCTTGACAGCATTGGGAACTATTGATTTCTCGAACAATTCTCTGTCAGGGCTTATGATGACAGAGTTGGGCGAGCTGACGAGTTTGGAATTGGTGAACGTTTCATTCAACCAAATCTCTGGTCCGATCCCAACGGAACTTGGGCAGATCTTGACAACAGTTAGAGATTACAATAGAACACTGGGCGAAGAAGTTGAGCACCAAGAATCCCTCCAAGCGCTTGATCTCAGCAACAATCAACTGAGTGGTCACTTGCCATCAGAGCTTGGCGTGTTGTCAAGTTTGGAGGTTTTAGATTTGTCATTCAACCAGATTTCTGGTCGAATCCCAACACATTTTGGACAACTACTGACAAGTCTCCACTGGTATGACTATGAACAGGATGCCTGGGATTCACAAGATCTGTCCTTACATACCCTTGTTCTGAACAACAATCTGCTCAGCGGCCCGTTGCCATCTGAGCTTGGCCTGTTGACATCATTGCAAAGGCTTGTGCTGAACAACAATCAATTGCATGGCTGGTTGCCTTCAGAGCTTGGCCTCTTGACAGAGCTGGAGATCTTGGATTTGTCATTCAATGGCCTGACAGGATCCGTTCCTAGTGAGCTAGGGAATCTGTATGCCTCTGTCAGCCGAATCATGCTGTCGGGCAATAGCTTCTCCGGTGATCTTCCGGAAAGCCTATGCCCTCTGGTACTTTCCGCAGCACTTCACGATAAATTTTGCTGAGTTTTACTGGTGGTGAAGATTGAATCGAATCCATGCTAGTGATCTACCAGAGGACAAGACAGAGAATCAGCACCAGGATGACACTCCATCATTGTCATTACTCCAGAATCGCTGCACGAGCGCATTGGCCAAGGGATGCGAGGAATTGAACACCTGTGCTGGCAGGGAAGCGCGCAACAAGGAATTGTGCATCGATCTCATGTGGAAGTACACCATGCATGGAGTCCAAACAACGAAACAACCAGCAGACTGCTCCGCTCCAACGAAACAACACTCTGCCAGCGCACGAGACAACACCTCTGCCCACCGCACGAGACAACACTTTTCGCCATGAGCCACTCGGATATATTCGACCCTGTCCGCAACCCAGGAGGGCGGCGGATGGCCAGTAACCAAAGGCAAATTGTGTTGGAAGTAATTAATTAAAAGCAGCGAAGGCAGTGAAAGCCAAGACGGAGATGCACACAACCCAACAAAGGAAGCCGTGTGCCCGATGTGTCCGCTGTCGGTGGTGAATTTACTCAAGACGAACCATTGGCTTGTTGGTCGAAGGAATTCAACCGCGGAAGGGATCGAGTGAGTCGAATGATTGCTTCGTTGTCGGACAGCGACTTCGGCAAACCACAAGGAAAAGTAAATGGTCTTTTTCCGAGTACGTCGTACATCATTTTATAACAGTCAATCTGTTTCATGCCTTACTTACTTTGAGCACCAACACAGTAGTGTGCTCCACCGAAGAGTACAGCATTGTGACCTCCCGCTTCAATGGAACTTACCCTATTCAGCTAGCTCCGTAGTTGACATGCAGGGATTGAGCCAAAGATACCTGAGCGAAGAACACGGCATTTCCTGAGCCCACTACATATTGCAGGCTGAATGCTTCTGCGCTAGCTAGAGTAGCTAGCAGGTCCCACCAGCCCTTGGTTACTCTACGTATTGGGCTGGACACCATTAACGAAGTTACGATAAGGATGGGGCGTCAGCGTATTGCTACAGAAGTAGTCTAGTAGGATATCAAGGCAGTTTGAGCCTGTGTAGATAGATCTATCAAATCACTGCCCTCCCGTGATCTCCAGCTATACAAACTGACTTCCAATTTCTTCTCTTTTAATTTTATCTCATCCTTCCAACATCATCCATGAATCATTGATGATATATTGGTAATATATATCTTTCATTTTCTAATTAATCATGCATTCCCAATCGACGCTCCATGACAAAGTGTGGGTTTTCCACGGGCGCCAAAGGACGGTACTGGGGCAACGACAGGTAATCGGAAAAGTCAATTGTCGTGTCGCGACCCGAAATGATTTCCCCAAAGAGACCGGATGTTTCCAAACCAGGAGCACGCGCCATGACGTCTTGTTCTCGCGCCATCTTTTGCTCCGTCGCCAACCGCATGGCCAAGCCGCTGCCGTAGACGTGACGGACAAATTCCAAACTGCCGTACGGGTTGGCGGCTAAACAATATACGCAAGGAAACAAGGGATGTGAGAGACTTGCAGATCCATCCATCCATCATACCAAACAGGGAATTACAGCAGCCTTACCGACACGACGCTGCATCACATCAATGGGGTGGCTTCGAGCCGCGGCGCTTTGCAGACTGCTGCCGTTGGGACCAGTCTCCATGGCATTGGCCGGCTTGTACATGACGGGGATAGAATTGCTGTTGGATGCCATCTTGGAAAGAAAGAACGTGTCGTCTACAGTGCGGCGCTTGATTGTAATGGATGTCGAGGCTTTTGTGCCATGGTCGTCGAGACTCCAGCAAAGATTTCGGAGGAAGGTTGCCGAAGGCCAAGGAGCTGGGCAAGTGTCAGACATTTTCATTTAATCCAATAGAGCTAAGGCTAATCAATCACACTTCCCAGACGTGCTTCAGTCCCAAAACGAGGTTTTCTCCAAACCTGCCATCGGCGAGAAATTGAACCAACCAACAAGAGAAGCAACCTGTCTTTCTTGGTGCCTTTATAGAGGAAAACAAGTCCAATACTTACAGCAAGCAACAGAGAAAGCAACAACGGTGTGGTAGCTCAGTGGCAGAGCAACCGATTGCAGCTCGGTGAGTCGGAGGTTCGATTCCTTCCCACACTTTCACCCATATATTCCAATGGACAGGATATCTGGCTTTCATCCAGAAGGTCTGGGTTCAATTCCCAGTAAGGGTTGCTTTGGTATGGTAGCTCAGAAGGCAGAGCATCAGATTACGAATCTGAAAGTCACGAGTTCAAGTCTCGTCCATATCTTCACTTCCTCTATCCAGCATGGTCTAATGGTAGGACACTGCACTCTGAATGCAGGGGTCAGGGTTCAATTCCCTGTGCTGGAATCCTTGGTATGGTAGCTCAATGGTGGAGCATCAGGCCCTGGACCTGAACGGTTCAGGTTCAATTCCTGCCCATACTTCCGCTCAGATATGGTAGCTCAGAAGGCAGAGCATCAGATTACGAATCTGAAAGTCACGAGTTCAAGTCTCGTCCATATCTCTCATTCTCCAGCATGGTCTAATGTAGGACACTCAATCTGGATGCAGGGGTCAGGGTTCAATTCCCTGTGCTGGAATCCTTGGTTATTGCTAGCTCAATGGTGGAGCATCAGGCCCCGGACCTGAAGGGTGCAGGTTCAATTCCTGCCCATACTTCCGCTCAGATATGGTAGCTCAGAAGGCAGAGCATCAGATTACGAATCTGAAAGTCACGAGTTCAAGTCTCGTCCATATCTCTCATTCTCCAGCGTAGACTAATGGTAGGACACTGCAATCCGGATGCAGGGGTCAGGGTTCAATTCCCTGTGCTGGACCGCAGCCAAGCGTATTCATTCTACTGGTACTGTACTGTAGGATGCCAAGTCTGGGACTTGGTGGTCATTTTTGATTCCTTGTGTCGGTATTCATTCATCTGGAGGAGATCAAACTTCACAAGGAACTATCATACATGCAGTATCTCATGTAGTGCTCTACTAGCTAGTGTCAGGATGCATGTTAGGTTAGGGACACGGCGGTGGGTAAGGGGGGCTGTGAGGGGTCAGTTCCCTTTGCTGTAAACATCTACGTGCTAATGTGAACCAAGCATCGTAGCATCGTACCGGTAGCCCCTTCCGTACTTTTGGGAACGGAAGCTGGGCTTTTCTGGTTCAGTTCAGGAGTGATGGTGCTTTGCTTGCCATGCTTTGTTGCAAGAATTGCTAACTAAGCAACCAGCCTACTCTCTTAAAAGAGAACCCGTCGACTGGCTGTCGCAGTGGCCCAAAACAAACACAGAGGCTAGTCTAACCCTCTTTAGATGATAGCCAAAGCTCCTGCCCGCAATGATAAGAATTTCGAAAAATCTTTCGCCCAAATTGAGTTGCATGTGAATTTGGCTATGCCGGCACAGCAGTTATTCCCGTGAAGGCACAGATCGTGCCACCGTTCGCTCAAGAAATGAGACAGCAAGAACAGAGCAAGATATCGAGTGCGAACTTCTTCCAAACCAAAGAAGTGAGGTCCAACAACCAAAGCGCGACCTTTCTTACTTACAACACTATCCATCTATCTATCGACTTGAGATAGAAGAGAGCAACAGTTGCAACGCCTTGCTAATAATAATAAGGTAGTGGAAGCAGGACCCCGATCGGATCGGTGAAGTGAAAAAGAAGAAACAACGGCTTTTTGGGTATTCTACAGTACTACTTTAGTGGTACCACAGAACAAAAACAATGAGACAACCAAGTTTTCTGTGGCAACGCGTGCTGCTGCTGTGTTTGCTGTTGGCAGTGCCAACTTATGGCCAACATTCAGGTGTCTTGGATGGACTCTTTCAGGATTGGTTACAAGGCAGACAAAACAACAATTCTGATGCTGGCGGCAATGGAACCACGGTGGTTCCGAATGGTACGTGTTGGATGTCTGTCCTCTTGTGCTCGCCAATGAGAGGGAGGTATTATCTGACTTATCAAACATTATAAACGTTATAGGAGGCAACTCGAGTGGGACGCCTGGAGCTACAGCAGCTGCCAACGGCACTCTCCCTGCTGCTGTAGGAACTACTAATGGCACAGTTCCCGTGGATGTAGGAGCACAGTCCAATGAGACAGTTCCTGTAGCAGTGTCCAACGACACAGTTCCCGTAGCAATTTCGAACGACACAGTCCCTGTAGCAGTTTCGAATGACACAGTCCCTGTAGCAGTTTCGAATGATACAGTTCCTGTAGCAGTTTCGAATGATACAGTTCCTACCGATCCTCCTGGCACGGTGCCACCAGCGTCAGGGGCCAATGCAACCGCCACCAGACCACCCGGAGACGACACGACAACCACCCCACCGCCTTCTGATACGGTACCACCGACCAATGGTGGTAATATTGGTGTTACCCAACCACCGGCAGTTGCGACGAGTGTGCCCTCGGTCGACACAACCGACATGGTCTACTTTACCATTGACTTTGGCTTTCCAGAAGGTGTGGCGCGAATGCCCAATGCGTCAGAAGTGCAGGACTTGATCTGTCAAACCAACCTGTTCATTCAAGGTCGAGTCCAAAATGCAACCCAAAACACAATCGTAACCGAGGCATTCTATGTTGATTGGGCATTCAACAACAACCCGGATACCACTGCTGTAAACGGTTCTGGTGCCATGCCCGTATCGGTCTCATTTGCATCCAAGAATACCATTGAAAGTACCGGGGGACCCGCCCCAGGGCGTGCTGTCTCCGATGCCATGCAAGTGGGAACCGCGGAAATTGTGGACTACCTGCAAAACTACGTTTGGAATGTGCAACTCCCAGACAGCTTGTTCCAGAACGCAGACAGTGCCAATTTCAACGATGAGCTGGGTCAACCTGTACCACCCGGACAGTTGTCCACGACCACGTGTCCCTTTGATCCATCCGCCGAAACTCCCGTTCCAGTGCCCAGTACGACGCCGTTCCCCAGTCCCTTTGACCCGAATAGCAACGTGACACGTCCCCCGACAGCTGCCAATGTCACTGCTCCGGCACCTGCTCCCAATGTCACAGTGGCACGACCACCTACGTTTCCACCGTCTCCGGCGGAAGCACCGGTTCCGCCGGGTGCCACGCGACAGGAAGTCTATACCAAGTTCGTCGTGTCCAATTTACAAGGCATTACGCAAAATTCCATTATCAACAGTAGCGGATTGTCCGCGGCCTGGCCTGTTTTCGTAGAACGTGTGGTGACTCGAACAGCGGCCGAAAATGGAGACACATACACCCCAGGACGACGACAACTACTCAAACATAATCGCCGTCGACTAAGTGTCGAATTGGAGCCCGGCTCGGCGTACATTCAAGACCTGACATTGAATAGCAGCGGCTGTGGCGAAGACACCCATCCCGACTCGACCTGTCACGATGCGATTGGTGCCTACAATTTGCTGCTGCGTGAAAATGAACGACCGGGACTGGCAAAGAATCTATATGGGATTGCCACAGTCGACGCCATTGAAGCGGGCGAACTTCAAACAGTGATGAAAGAGGAGACACCCGATACGCCACTGTATATCGGAACTCTTGCCGATCCTTCGAGTGGAATGGCCCCATGGTTGATCGTCTTGATCGTGCTTCTGTGCCTCTTGTTCCTCTGCTGTTGCCTCGCCCTGATTGCGTGGTACTTGATGCAGGACAGAGATAGAAGCGGAGGCAAGGAATTGGAACCCTACGACGAAGAAGGATTTGCCTACGACTTTTTGATCCCACCGCATCACAAGGTACAAACCGAAGCGGATGATGATATCGATGAAAGTGCTGCCACCAAGAATGTCGACGACGACGAACTGTTTGAAGACGAAGATGGCGTCGCAGTGGCACAAATGGTCAAGGATGATGACGACGAAAATGAAGTGGCGCCAGCCACAATCATGGAAGAAAGCGATGATGATGAAGCCAAGGAAGGCGACGAGGATGACAGCAGTGAGGACGACGACGAGGAGCAAGTCAACGTCTCTGCTGAGGTAGAAGATGAGGACGAAGCCGACGACTCTGGCGATTCTGATGCTGGCGATCCCGAACTTGTCCCTGTGAGCAATGACTTGGAGGAGTCCGAATCATTCAATCATGATCCAGAGGCAGAGAACGAAACCGAGGATGAATGGGACGACGAAGGCGGCAAAAAGAAGGAGAAGAAGTGAATTGAAACGCCTCAAACATTCTTGTAACTTCATAACGGGAAACATCTCCCGACATACATAGTCATGAAAGATTCGAAACTGCACATGGAGTCGGCTGCTGGTAGCTAGAGCAGTCCAGGAAGATCTTTCATATCTCAAATTTTGAACTTTGCACCATTCGCTCCAGAAAGCGCCTGAATTCTCCTCGAGAGCTCTCGAGCACTCTATTATAAAACTTTCCTTCGCAGTGAAGGCAAGAGCTCGTCAATCAATCGTCAAGTGCTTCAGTAAGCGCCTGAATTCTCCTCGAGAGCACTCAATTATTTCGACCTTCGCAGTGAAGGCAAGAGCTCGTCTAGTCTACGTGATACATGAGCTGTAAGACTATCTCTCACACCAGCGCAAGTTGCAACCGACACTGCTAGACTTCAAAGAGGTAGAAATGTACAAACAAGCACAGACCCGATCCATGAGGGCGAAAGCGGTAGAAGCAGTGATCTGATTGGCTAATCAACCTATGACATCAGCAAGTATGTCGCAAAAATTCAAATATACTTAACGTACCGTTTATAAAGATTACAGAGCTAGTGTGCTACCTAGTCACCATTTTCGTGTTTCGCGAAACAGAAAGAAGGATTCCGTTGAAGAAGATCGACGACATGCCATACATGCTGCCGCTCGCAAACTCGCAAACTCGACAGTCATTCATTATCTCAGCCCAACAGCAACAGCAGCAATGAGTAATCCAACAACACCGACCACCACAACCAATGGTGGAGAAGATATGGGCTGCCAAAGTCAACAGAGGAACTCGACAACAGAAGAGAGCCTACCAACTGGTGCCAACAACAACAGATCCAAGAGAGCAGAGAAGAAGGACCGCAAACAACGCTGGGAGGAGAGGTAGCAGAAGTCTTTGATCCTTGAAGAAGTGTGTCATCTGTAAGGCCAGACATCTTGGTCAGATCCCAAAAAGATCAACCACGTTCTCTGTATTAAGAATAAAGTAACAAGAGGAAGAGGAGATTTGAATGAGCTGACAATGGAAACTATCAGAGAGAGCAGAAGACTCACAAGGCACTTCAGTGCTCCTCTTCCACTGATTGAGAGAGGAAGCTGGAAGCATTCCACAAGAGAGAATGGAGATGCCTCTTCGCTGCTAGAACGAACACAGCCAAACCAAATCAGAGCCAGCAACAGAAGACATCCACAGGAACACAACCACAAAACTCCAATAGCTCTCTGTCGAAAGGTCACCACTCTTGTGAAGGATAATGCCTTTGTCGAAAAGCACAAGACCAAAGGAGCACCACTGCTATGCTAGCACTGGCTGAAACTGTGTCAGAATCCATTATCAAGCCAAGGAATCCACAATTCCACCACATTTTGAAGGACTCACACATGACAGTTCCATCCACAGACGAGCAATTCAAGTCTCCACACTATCACTCTATTGTTGGCCAGAAACTTCCTGGTGGACTGGAATCGATGTGGAATTACAGTTCCTTGTCCCGATGGAAGATGCTCTGGCCAGCTCAAGAATGCGAGGCATAACTGGTCAAAGAAACAAGACCTTGTTCCCTATCTTTGGCATCACTGAGCTCCATCTTGGTGCATTGTCATGTCAATGGTCTGTGACTGTTGCAAGAGAAGGTTTGATGCCAACAGTGCTGAAGTCTTGTGCACAATCCCACACATGCTGCTCTCCTCTATCCCGTGGAGTCAAAGTATGCCTTCCAAACAAGGCATGTCACCTGGACAGGACCGCCACTGAGACTTTCGAATCAATCATGTTGACCTATGGAAATGGAGAACTCTGCAGCCGGCTCATCTACAATGCAATCAACAGAAACTTCATTAGGTCCATGAAATCATACTTCTCCTATTGGGAGGGAAGTGACACTGATCACAGATCCCTTTCTTCAAAAGGATGGCACTTAATACGACAGTTTCCTCCTCTTGTGACACCATCCGTGACATTTATGATGCTGCCTGTGCTTCAAACAGGAATCCGTGGAGGATCAGTGACAACAAAGGCACACAAGAGGAGATCCAAAGTGTCAAATTCAACAAAGGATCTTCTGCCAAGACCATACCTTTCAGGTTATCAAGAACTACTCCAAGAGTTTGGTGCCGGTGCTGTTTGGGATGTGCCACTGAAACAGGAGAGATTGCCTCTGCTGTTCTTGTTCCACCACCAAGACAATCCACTTCTCCATGCTGCATGCAGCTAGCAAGAGGAGCCACTTCAACCCAGTGCCATGTACAGTGACACCTGGCCCCACAGGATGACTACTGGGAGATACTCTTCCAGGAATCGAGGGAAGGCTAGGCCTGTTTCATATGAGAAGAGATCCTGTCAACTTTGAGAAAGGGACACATTGATCACTATCAAGCTATGTCAGACCTCTTGGATTGCCTGTATGTGTACTCACCTAATGACTATGAGAAACTTCTCCATGCATTGAAACATGGCCTCTTATCCACCAATGGCAAGTGCTACTCCATGGCAGAGATCTCAGATATGCAAGCCTCCAAGGTCTTCAGAGCTAGGTACTCCAAATATCTAAGGAAGCAGATGCGAGAACCGGAAACAATGAGACAGAAGTTGCAACAGTGGTTCTGCAGATACAAGTGACTGCCAGTGATGGTAGCCAGCCAGGACAGGGCCGACTGGATCCAGTAAGAACTTTACCTTGTTCACACCGATACCAAGCCAGCAGTAGAGAACTGTGTTGACAAAGCCATTCACTTGGCTGATCCACTGCCTTTGAAGACATGTATGACACAATCCTACCATCACCCAATCTCAAAGCACAGCTCCCAGAGTATCTGTCAAGAGAGGAGAATCCAAACTGAAGCATTCCATGACAAGTTTGCCCATTTCGCCAATAGTGGCATAGAAGAAGTCTAGCAGATGCCCTCAACCTTGCTGGAACAGCCAGATACAACCTCAACATTCGACACAAGAGAGCTTCCTGTCAAGAATCAGTCTGGAAGAAAGAGGTCAATTCCAGCTGGATGGGAAAGGTTGTTCCATACTGGAACCATTCAGAGTTGGCTTATCTGAATGAGCTAGCAGTGGCTGTGGGTCTCAATGAACCATTCCCAAATGCAGAGCCACTGCCACAGGATAATGGAAAGAGGTTCTTTTCAGAGTCATTGTTCATTCAAACCACAGCGGCAGAAGTATGCACCAAATGATTGTTGTTTTGTGGTGGCTTGTACAGCACACAACCACCGACGACCAGCAATCGAGCCACCAATCCACCAGCAATCGATCCCCAGCAATCGACACCAACTGCAACAGCAATGGTACACCGCGCGCCACCGCCCCGAAACACCACCACCACCTGCAGTGCACAAACAAGAAATGCTTATCTTGGTAATTTGATTCTATACAGCAACAACAACAATTCAAATGATGCAACTTGCCATGCAAATGCGGAATTCCAACCATACTGCCATCTCCTTTCCAGCCACCTCCTCCACCGAATGGCTGCTGTCAGAGATATGCCAGTGGTTAACCAACAGGAGAGGAAGACCACCCATGATGCCATTGCCAATCTAATTTAGTGGATACTGGCATAACAGCAATAAATATTTAGATACATCAAACTCATTTCTAATGTAGCCATTAACTTACAGAAGTTCCACAATGGACAGATGGTGGTTGCAAGAATCCAAGGTTCAGCATCTTCCATGCAATCATCAACAAAAGTCTCACTCATCAAAGTCATATCTTGAAGGAGATTTGTTGTTGTAGTCATACCAGTGGAACAATACCCATGCCAAGCATCATCACACTCTGTCCTTCATGGTAGGACACACTCATAGCTCTCACTGATCCTTTCCCTCACTAACCAATAGATGCACTCAATGAAGAGGTCCTTCCTTCCACATCCTTCTGGCCCCTCCAGCATTTCAGAAAGGGTGGAGAGAACTTTATGGTACCATTTTGGACTTTTCTGAAGCCCAATAAACATGTAATCCATATGTTTGTCATGTCAGGAGGAAGAGGCTTGCATTCTCCTTGCATGATCAGATCCTCAAGAATGGAAACATGGTCAAAGTCTTGGTGGGCACGCAGTGTACTTCTCATTGCTGTTGATATCACAAATGACATACTTGCAGTGAATCCATGCCTTGTTCCCTTAGCTATTGAATGGGTATCTTTAACTGCAGCCAATTGGAAGGCCGAGAAGTAGTTGCGATCCTCATGGTCGAGTTGTTGTTCTTGTTGTTTCGATTTTCGTGGAGCGATCTCCGATCTCATTGTACGCCGATACGAGCCGTCTTGCCAAGAGTCTTGCCCTACCGAAGTAGGCACTAACTTCAAGACAAAAATAGCCCAGCAATCAACGGAGTAGTGCTTCTTGTTGTCAAGGTCGGTCGCTCTGGTTTGAGCGCGAAGAAGGGTTGGGAGGTATCGACGATTCTTTATCCATAGAGTAGTAGTGGTAGAGAGCGTAGAGAGACAAGATAATAGTATTAGCTTTCATTATCGCAAGCAACAACTGCATGGCATGTCGAACAACAACAAAACAACAACAACAACAACAACAACAACAACAACAACAACAACAACCACACAACAACAACAAACAACAACAACAACAACAACAACAACAACAACAACAACAACAACAACAACAACAGCAGCAGCAGCAGCATTCTTACCTTTTCGAGTGCTTCGAATCATGTCAGTTTTGAATTGTGGGAAGCGGGAAGGTTTGGCTTCAGCGAAGGAGAGGGAAAGAAAATTCGTTGAATCATTTGAATTCGAAAATAGTATGTGGTTATGACGTATTTGCTGACACTTATCTTGTTCTTCAGACGTTTCACATGGGGGTATGACTGCATTTACATAACGGAACGTTGGAGTCATCGTCGTTTCCCCCTCTTACCATATGTATTCTTGTGTCCGTTTGGTAGGATTGGCGTGCCATGCTTGCTCTCCACGGGAATATGGAATCCAACCGATAACCCTCTCCCTTTCTTTTTTCTTTTCCCTCCCCCGCGCTGGTGCCTGACCCCCCCTAAATCTCTCCAAGAGGGCGAAAGCGGTAGAAGGCAGTGATCTGATTGGCTAATCAACCTATGACATCAGCAAGTGCGTCAGCAAAGATTCAAATATACTTAACGTACCGTTTATAAAGATTACAGGGAAACTGTGCTACCTAGTCACCATTTTCGTGTTTCTGTTTTCACGAAAGAAGGATTCCGTGGAAGCAAGCTCGATCGATCGACAATGACATGCTCCGTCGCGATCGATCCACAATGACACTCGACAGCCACTCGACAGTCATTAAGCAAAGCAAGCAAGTAGTAGTAGCAGCAGCAGCAATGAATCCAACAACAACAACAGCAGCAATGAATCCAACAACAACAACAACAACAACAACAACAACAACAGCAGCAACAAATACACAAAATTGCAAGTCTGGCTATTATTGATGACAGTGTGACTATCCAAGATGGAGATGGAGGATGAGCTTGACATTCCAAATCTGGTGGCTGCAGAAACTATCCATCAATTGCAACTTGGAGAAGATCTCAGTGATATCAACAACAATCCAATCCAGCCAATGGCTGAAACAGATATGTATTTTGCAGATACTCAAAATGAAAGAATCAGTGCTCTAGCAAATGAGATCAAAGTTCTTCAACAAAAAATCAATGAGGTACTGGTGGATGGCAACAACAGGATGAGTGCTCTAGCCAAGGAAAACAAGGTCCTTCAAGATAAAATATCACAGCTAGAAACAATTGTCAAAAAGCAAGCAGAAACAATGCAGCAGTCAACACAAGCTCAAATGCAGCCACCAGTGCTGCCAGATGGTGACAGTGGCCCCAGTCCTTCTGCTCAAATTGTCTCACCTTTACTGACAATGCCAAAATTTGTGCCAATAGCACCAAGACCTTCAACTTCTGCAATAAACATGCAACAACAGAGTAAGCGGATTTCTCCAGCAGCTCCACCATTGTTGCAGCAACAGCAGCAGATGCAACAGCAACAACAGCAAATACAAATGATGCAGCAGCTCACCTTCCTCCAAATGCAGCAGCAGCAGTTTCAACCACCACAAGTAAGAGGATGCTGCGGGTCTTATATTGATTGGTCATTAGGAAGAAGAATTGGTCGGCCACTACATGATCCAAACTGTCGAATTCAACTCGATGGGTATGGCAATGCGACGGCGCCATATTGACAAGTACTTCATTCAGATCCGTGGAAACTGTGGTTGATGATGACATAGCCTCCGGCGGAGCCCAAGCAACTTGCGTCGTCGGAGGAGCATCGGTAGAGACAATGTCGTCGGTAGAGGAAGGAGCGTCGGTAGAGGAAGGAGCGTCGAAAGGACGACAGTTGTTGCTCTGAGTAGGAACCATCTAAGGACGGCTTCTCTCGAAACCACCCAGAGCTAACACAGTCGGTGGATTGGTAGCGGTAGTGGTAGTTGGTCGGTAGTCGCGATGTCTCCCAGCCACAGCTTTAAGGTAGTAGTAGCAATCGGTCGGTAGTAGCAGTCGGTCGGTATTAGTGGTAGAGTGTCATTGGTACTTTTCCCAGCCCTTTTGTCATGAGCACGGAACATGACAGGCGGTACTTCGTTCCTCAGCCTGTTGTTGTTAATGGAAGGTAGTAGTTGTAGCAGTCGGTAGAAGCAGCAGTCAGTAGAAGTAGCAGTGCCAACAGTAGTAGACAGTAGGAGCATTGTCACCGACGGTAGTAGCTTCCAGCCTATCCAAACAAGAGGAGCCTGTCATGGTGGAGTAGTAGCAGCCATGAAAAAGGAGTCTGTAAAGGAGGAGAAAACATCATCTTGATAGAGTAACAAAGATAGAGAGTATCAAAATAATGAATATTGACTCGACTCGGTTCGGAGGAGTTACTTCGTTCCACGACCGAAGCGTTGGATCCCTCTCAACAAGTGCGACAGGCGAATCGATCCGTATCAAGCCTCACTCAATCCGACCGTCTCCAGTTCAGAGCAGAAAGCCATCCTCATTGAAATCACACCAGCTTGGGAAGGTTTTCTTTTCTCGGCCGCTGACAGTCAAGTTGGAGTGGGAGGGTTTGGTCCGAGCAAAGGATGGGAAAAGAGCAAGAGTCGGTTGATTTGGTTTGAATTGCTGTGACGTATTTGCTGACATATACAATGTTCTTCGGACGTAGAAGCTTTAACGGAGGAGGGGCCAATGACCAGGTCATTGCCATTTCCCCTCTTTATTGTATATAGCTCGTGTCTCTTCATGCCTCTTCATGTCCTTCCACATGCCCTGCACACTCTCAATTCGGAATCTGGAACTCAACCGATAACCCTCTCCCTCTTCTTCTTCTTTTTCCCTCCCCCGAGCTCATGCCTAACCCCCCCATAATCTTATCCGGGGGCAGATGCCACGGCTGGGCTGAATCCTCACGGGAATAACCCAGATGCCTCCATCATGTGGAACCTTGGGAGCATGCTCCGCAGCACAAATGGGGAAGTTCTCATTTACTACTTAGTTTTAAGAAAACAGACAACCTAACATCACCTAGTAGCATAAAGGTCAGTCAGCCTTTACGCCTTGGCATTACGGCAAATTGCAGTATCTATACCCTTACATTTAGAAATATTCGGTGCAAAATTGACCCCTTCTAGTAAACACCCAATATGACACTATCAACTACACTATCTCAACAAAGTAAGACAATGTCATTCAAAACAACATCATTGCTGACGAATACCATTCAACAACTAGGTCAATTGGTTGGATATTGACTGAGATCTGGTAACCAGCAGATGGTGGCTTTTTTATCACAAAAACATCTTTCAGTCATGCGCCTAGGAACATTCAGGTGGAATTCCTTATTTGTTTCCAAAGTGATCCAGAGGTTTTCCCCATTTTTGCGGCTTTCCTCATTTTGGCTGGGGAGTAGGTGAGGATACTGTCATAGTAAACCAAGCGAAGTCGTTACTATTGAAAGGTTCTCGCTTTTTATTCAGTTATCATATTATGAATTATGCAATCTAGCTAGCTGTAACGAGACGTCCCGTTAAAAGGTCAAGTCAACCAAAGAGTTTTGCTTAGCTTACTCAATGTTAACCAAATGACCTTCTTCAGCCACCAAAACATTACGGGTGGCAATGACATCAAAAACACAGTCTTCCTTGTCTTCCTCCCAGTGGGCACATGCATCCTCAGTTCGCTACAGCACCATTCATTTACCAGGCACCAGCCATCGTGATATCCTGGGTGGCAATCACATCAAAGACACAAGCCTTGTGATCGGATGGGTCCTTGAGATGAGCGCAGGCCTTCTCAATCTCGTCTTTAACAAGGCCGTTGGCAAGACGACGCTTGCGAAGTTGGCTTTTTTCAAGAGTATCAACAGGCATTGCGCAAGCTTGTCCGGCAGCAACAACCCAGTCAGCCGTGTAGCTGTGGAACAACTTGGGTTCGTCAGGCTTGACTTGCCACTCCTGTCCAAACATGTTGACATCTTCCATCATGGTAGCTCCGTCACGTCCCACACGCTGACCTTCGGGGTAGGTTCCCAACAATCCCAAGGATCCCTTGAGAGTGTTGTCGCTTTCGTTCATGAACTCAACCTTGACAAAGTCAGCAAAGGTCTTGAACAGGATCTTCTCGCCATTTCCCAAATGAAGGTGGGCTTCGCGACGAATGCGGTCGTTAGCCGTTACGGATTTGTACCGGAGAACATATCCGGCGAACTTGCTGAAGTTCCACTCATCGTTGGTATCAGTAATAATGGCCGCTCCATTAACCCAGAGCCCTTCTTCTTGAGCATTGCCTGTCAGCTCGAGAGTTTCTTCTCCAATCTTGAGGACGGCAGTATCGATGTAGGACCACCATGTCTCGATCTTGGTACGGATGTGGATAGTCAAACCTTGTCCATTTTTGTAGGCAGGGTGGTCAACCAACACAAGATCACAACCACCTGTGACAAGAAGAACAACCCAAGAATGGTAAGCAACAGTTCCATAAATAAACAATTAAGAGAGACAAACAAACAGCCGTAGCAATTGGGCAGCCGTACCATGGAAGTCGTACATCTCTCCTCCGTGGGTTTTGAAATGAGGATCACCCTTGGCTCCAGGAGACGATTTTGTGGTGAAGGTGTCGTCAATTGGTCCTGATCGTTCGTTCGCTGGTGTCGTTGGCGCTGGGTCGGTTGGGACGGAAACACAAAGGATGCTATCGACAGGAGCCTTACAGACCCCGGCAGGAAGGACCGCTTCACTGGTTACCTGTATTCTGCTCATAGCCGAGAGCGTACAATCATCATTAACGACAGAATCTCCGCGACCCCCCTTGATTATATGACCAGGTAAGACATCCCCTGCCTGCATATCATCTTTCATTTCAACATAAGCAAGTGTGTAGGGATTCCTACGAGAGGCGCCAGGGACGAGGCGACAGACTGGAATCTTAGTTTTCTCGATCCCGCAGGAGTTCTCGACATCACCACAGTCTTTGTCAGCACCAAAAAAAGTCAATCCGTAGTTCACACCGGCGTTGTTGGTGGCGTAAGCACACCACTCGTTTTGAGTGGCAAGCACCTCTCCCTTCGCCTCGCAGAAGGCAGCAGCAGCAGCGAGGTTGTCAAAAGCCACGTCGGAGTACAAGTCGGCTTTCGCCGTCGCTCCAATGGAGAGGAGAACGATGGATGCTAGAGAGAGCTTCATGGTTTTGGTTTCGTTTTTATCCTTTGTTTTTATCTTTTGTTGTGAGTTAGTTTGAAGTCAAGCTAGCAAGGTGGGCTCGTTCGATTTTGTGTGAGAATCGCATCGTTGAGAGATGTTGCCGAGCATGCACGCACATAACAATGACTGGTACCGTACCATAGAAGCTAGTATGACCCGACAGGTGTATTTAGTGTTTTTGTACGTGCTGTCCCAGTAGCCACGTGGCGTAAGTAAATCCTTGAATCTAAAGGTCATTTCGTGTGGAATGACAATAAGACAATAATATACTACGAGTAGTTACTACCTAGCAAAAGCATCCCGGAAGTATGAGGAATTGTGGGAGACACGTGTATGGCCTAGGTAAATATCTGCGCCCAGGAGATTTGCAGTCATTTTCTGGACTCCGAGTACTCCCAGTAGTTCTGCGACTAGCTAGTACATTAGCAGGACCCCTTGCATCCCCCCAACTACCAACATCGAGGGGGTACCTCCCTTTAGCCAGGTCTTGGTGGTTGGTGTTTAATATGAGTAGGTTGTGTAGATTCAGTACTAGTAGAGAGAGAGAGAGGGGGGTACCCCATATAGCCAGTCATGGCCATTTTGGGACCAAATCGTATGTGTGAGTCGCGTCCCAGTGTGAGTCCTGCTATCCAGATTGTTCATTTATATATAAGGTTCATTTATATATAAGAAGTTGCTTCATCTATCATCTGCATGCCATGCACCCTTCTAAAGTGCTCCACACGAGCCATCCACAATGATCCACATAGCAAATGCCAGTAAAATGTAGTATATCTAATGGTGTTAGGGTTGGGGTCTTTTCAAAACACTAGGGGTACCCCCCTCAGCCATGTCCTGGTGGTTGGTGTAGACCCTATAGTAGAGGGGGGAAATTGGGGGGGGGGCAGGCAGTTCTACCACTAGTTCTAGTAGGGGACACCAGGAGTCCTAAACTAGGTTACCAGCTAGTAAAAGCATAGTAATAGCTATTGTAATTGAGAGGAATTGTGTGAGACACGTGTTCGGCTTACATAATAATTCACTTCGCTAGCTAGTCTTGACTCTGAGTACTCCGAGTAGTTACTGCTACAGTACCTACCGTACTAGTGCACGTAGCTACCTGTAGTACATGTAGCACTCACCAGCGATTAGCTATTAGCTAGAGTACCAGTACTATTGTAGCTACTTCCTAGCTAGACCTAGCTAGTACCAGTAGTATGTGCTGCAGGGTACTAGAATAAGGAGGGTTATAAGCCATCGAAAATTTACAGCATTTTCTGCAACACAGAAATGTCGACCATGGCGTACCTTTTGACTGTTATGCAACTAGTAACACCACCCAACTGGTAACCGGAAACATTAGTGATAGCAATGAAGATAGCTGATCAACCTTTCCAATGGACTCGAAAGCTTTCATAGTTGTAGAAATCAACATCGGCGGTTGGTGAGGCTGTTGTTGCACTTCACCGAACAGCGACATGCTGTTGTAAAAGTGAGGATACGTCGAGTTGTGGCTTACCTCCAAGGGACAACACTAGTGCGTCCTCTTCCTTAATAGTATGAATGAGCCTGAGAGAAAGCAGAGCAAGATCGACAGGGCTGCCGCCCTTGTTTCCATTAGCAAATGAGTCATCAGAGTGGAGGACGCGATGAAAATGGTTGATTTCTCGACTCCACAAAGAAACAACATGACGACGTATCAGCAGGTCCGTCGCACATCCTCCAAGATAGTGATCGCTGTTGGTGGCACTGGTCCTGTTGTTAGTACTGGTGCTACTGGCAATCCACCCAAGAGTGTGAGTGTCGCTGGGTCATCTTCTGAAGCATCCACTCTGACCGGAACAACAGCAACTCCTCCAGCAACAAGCAATAAGGAATCAAATGTGTCTCCTCTTGACTCTAGCACTGATGGAAGCGAGCAGACAGAGGAGAAGTCAGCAAGACACACAAGCAAGGAATTGCAGAGAGTCAATGCAAAACAGATCCAGCTTACTGAAAGAGACAAGAAAGCAATGAAGGCGGCAACAACGCTGATCCATAGGAACCAACAGTTGCCAAAGGATGATCCAAAGAAGAGGAGCATCAAAGAGATTGTGGAGTCAACCAACAAAAGATTGAAGAGCAATATAACAGCGAAAACAGCAGCACGATACGTAAGACAAGGATTGATTGGAGTGTCGCCACTGAAGAGAGGTCATGTCGGGGATTTCCCACCAAAGGTTTATGCAGCATTGAAGGGAGCCTTTGTCACTTACCTGAAACTGGAACAAGCAGAATCAAAGAAGCAGTCGACATTAAAGAAGATTGGCCAGTTACTGAACAAGACAGTCAATCCTCTGGGCTTTAGCAAACCAGAGACGACTTGGCCCGTAAGTTGAAGAATGACACTGCTGTTCAATTTGAAGCTGGAAAAGCGAACGTCCAAGAAGCGAGGAGGGCACAGTGAACGACCCACTATCATCTTGATTTCTGGTTCAATGTCTTCAAGCAGCAGTGTGTCGAGCTTGGCTTTGCAAGAGAGAAGGCAGAATGAGAAGACGTGGAAGGTAAGCTGGTGTTCTTTGACAGCCAAAAGGATCGCATCATCAACTTGGATGAAACAGACAGATCCCTTGATGATACCACCGGACAAAGAGGGGGCAGACCTCCCATTACCTTTTACTCACCTGAGATTCGAGGTGGTGCCACTGCGGTCAACAAGAGTGGGTATTCCTTTACCATCATTTGTGGAAGCAGCGCTGCAGGTGACCCCCTTCCTCCTCACTTCCAACTGAAGACGTTGGCTCAAAGAACGGTTGGTGGTCAAAGAATGTCAATCGATTGGTTCACACACTGTAAGGATGTCACTGGGAGGTTCGGCCATATCCAAAGGAAAGCGTTCCCTTGTACCTTTGGAATGAATGAGAAAGCAGGAATGAATGCTGTTGAACTCGACAAGTACATTAAGACCAACATCATGAGGCTTTATCCTGATTGCGAGGATGTACCAGGTAAAAGAGTTCTTGCCAAACTTGACAGTGGACCAGAAAGAATGAATGTTGAGATGCTTGCTGACCTGCGCTTGATGGGAGTGTATGTTGTTCCAAGAGTTCCAAACACAACAGGAGCGACACAAGAGACTGATCAGAATTATGGAGTATACAAGACTTCATATCGAGACAACCTCAGAGTCCTCTCTCAAGCGAGATTCGACAAAGATCTTGGCATGCAAATCACTGACCTTCCTCTTCTTGTCTTTGGCGGAACTGATCCACAGACGAATGTATTCCTGCGTGATGCTTTCAGCGATGCCTTCAATTGCTAATCGAATATCAATTGTTGGAAGAAAGTAGGGGCCGTGCCTCTAACCAGAGCTGCTCTTGACCATGCAAACGTCCGGCATGAGATTCCTGTAGAAGGTGCTGCAGCCGTAGCCAGACCGGAAGCAGAAGAACAACAGGAAGTTGCTCGCTTGAGACAGTTGGAAGAAATGAACAAGATGTATTGCGACACACTCACATCTTATCGAATGGAAGGACAGAACATGCGAAAGGATGCTCCAACAAGATCCACTTATGTGGCTGTGACAACAGCCAACTCCAAGGAACGTCAAGAGGTCATCAAGAAAGCCAAAACGGCTGAGCAAATGTTCTATGCGACTGGCGGGAATCATCTCAACAGCAATGATTTTTCAAAGCTAGGAAACTCGCCCAACAGGATGCCATAATCAAGAAGCTCAAAGATGACAAAGAGTGTCTCATCGAGGCTCTCAGGCTTTAAGAACTAGCCAACTAGATCTTGGCTGAGAAAGGAAATCTCACGGTGGACACTGAGAAATCCTTCGTGACAAAAGAACTCAAGACTTTGCTCAAATGGAAAAAAGTTTCCCCCATTCCATCAAGGAAACTCAACATGATTGCGGCCTACCATGCGAATCCGTCTCCACCTCCTGTTGTCCCATGGTCTGATGAGGAAGAGGCTAAGCTCCAGGAGCTCTTGAATGGACAGATTGATGTCAAAGACACCGAATTGGGTGTTGCGACCAATCAGATGGCAAAGGCAGTCACCAACAATGTGGCAAATCTTGATGCTGCAACAAGGGCTGCACTCAAAGCTGCCATCCAGGCATCTGAGTATGGTGAATCTACTACTCCTCCTGAGGTCTCCGAGCCTGTGGCGCCGTCGTAATGGCTTCGAAACAGCGGCTTTCTATCATCGTGGATCTGTTTTTCTTTGTTGTTTTTCGTGGAAGAAATGTGTTCAGTCAAGAGCAAATGGGATTGGCCAAGGATAGTTTTGGGTGGATCGAAACTCTCCGCAAGCCGGTCACTAGTGCGTTGAGACTGATTTACGTTAACTCACTAGATCTTTCTTTAAGGTTTTTACATCGCCTCACTCAAGGCTAGTTGGTGGCCTCGCAGACGGGTAGCAATCTGGTACTAGGCTACGTGTAAAGCCCACAATTATTCTAGTTTTCTTAGAAGTGTATTAGTAGTAGGATATCGAGTAGGAGAAAATCCTCCCTGTTCCGGAGGATTATCAGGCACATGGTCAGTTACCAAAATGACTGTTCCCCGCCATGGCCAATTACAGTCAGTTCTTGACTATATTTATATGGGGGTAATACGGATTCCTATAAATATACTAGAGAATATAAATATAGGCTCTATTTACTAGTAAAGTACGCGTGGAGAGTGCCGTCACGTTTTTGTTTGGCAGCCTTTGCTCCCCTAGCCATATTCAATGCCCTTGCAAACCTGTCAAGATGAACGGTGGCAGCCGGGTTCACACCCAAACTGGAGGCACTGAGTGAGAGCTTGTTGAGTGCCTCTTCGGCTTCTGCAATGGAGGCAAACAGATCGTCCGGTTGGGGATCTCACGGTCACTCGTGACTCAGGGGGGAACATCGAAATTCCATAAATATACTGGAGAATATAAATATACGTTTATAAATATAATCGCGAACACACTGTACCGAACATTAATTCATTCGAGTGAATGAGTGAATAAACGACAATCGATAACATCGAAGACCAGCGAGCAAGCCAATCTGAGCTTCTAACTAGTGGGATTTCCATGGTATTCAAAAGACTTCGCCGGATGCGGCACTGAACCTGCGGAAGCAAGCAGCAAATGAAATAAAAGGTCGTTTTGGCCGACGCGTGTATTTGCTAGCTAGCTACCAGGTAGCTAGCTAATACATGTAGTCTAACTGAAGCCGCAGCAACGTTTTCGCCTTATTCACTGCTCGTCAGGTAACCAGGAGCAGAAGTTACAATGGGCCAGCTTGAACACCCAGGAGGAGCTGGTTTGGGAGATGGAACTGAGCAGCTCTTGGATGATCTTGTTAACCGAAGGGATGAGCTCGAGGAGGCAGAACTGAGCGCCTCCAATCAAAGTCACCACCACAGACTTGCCAACGAGGATTCTGCTAAAGATGCAGGGAACCCCGATGATGATTCCCTTGTCATAGCCAGCATGATTTAGAGGGAAGCAGCAAACCTTGAACACGCGAGTCGATCCAGAGGGGCATCGGCAGATGTGGGAGCTGCAGTCGTTACAGCCAAGCAACTGGAAAAAGAGGCAAGAACCTTTGAAACGGCAACAACTGCGCCCGGTGCGTATCAACGCAGAGCCACGAGGTCGAGCAACCAGGCAACTCAAAGCATGGAAGCGCAAAAGAGTCTTAATGCTGTTGCTACTACCAAGACAATTGATAATGAGGTAGCAAACATCTTTGTTGCTCGTCAGAATGTACAAGCAGCAAACACTCGTCCAAACAACAACAATCACAGAGACTTGATTCAACCAGGTGCATACGCAATGGGAGGAGGACCGGGACCAGCACTAACAGAAGAGAGCAATAGAATTGAGCAAGGGGGGGAAGACCAGCGAGAAAGCCACATTGTAATTGCACCATGGGATATCACTGGATCAGCCACCTTCAGACCGCCCCCCACACAAGTGCCAGTTCCAAAGGCCACTACTAGACTCCAAAGAGGTAGCAATGTACCAACAAGCACAGATCCGGGGGCATATGCCACTGCTGGGCTGAATCCTCAGGGGAATAACCCAGATGCCTCCATCATGTGGAACCTTGGAAGCATGCCAAGTGGGGATGCTGATGTTAGTGTGCCTCTTTTCCAGGATCAGGAAGAAGGCCTTGTGGAGGCTAGAGCTGTGGACGATGAAGATCCTGAGCAAGTTCTGACAGTAGCACGAGCAGTGGAACCAAAATCTAGGAATCATGAGCTAGTTCCTTACCGGCCACTGGGAACAGGACTGCTTTTGGTGGCTGCTCTCTGTACAGTTGTGGGCCTCTTTGTGGGCATCAAGAACAGCAGTGTATCATCACCAGAAGAGGCTGATACACTTCCTACAGAGCAGCCATCTGTTCCACCCACAGTTTCACCATCATCGGCTCCTTCTGGGACTCTGGATATTCTAATGGAAGATCTTCCCAACTATACTTTGGAAAGCCTGAGAAATTTCAGTACACCCCAATCTCAAGCACTCATGTGGCTCTCCAACCACCGGAACATCACCAACTTGCCAGAATGGAGGAAGAAACAACTGTTGGCCTTGGCAACTTTCTTCTTTGCGTTTGAAGGAGATAGCTGGCGTAAAGAAATCCGAGAGCGATGGATGGACGATAGCAAGGAGGAGTGTTATTGGTTTTCTACAGGGTTTGGATATTTCAACCTCAACACTGACGAGTACATTGAATACGACCCTTTTGAGCAATTGAGCCCATGTAATGGACATGGACAATTCACCTCATTGATCTTGCAAGATCTGGTGCTGGAAGGAACACGGCCGTCAATTCCGCCGGAGATCACATGGTTGACTTCGCTTTCAGAGATTGACTTGGGCTACAATGGCCTTGGTAGAACTTTCGACCAACTCATTCCAAAAGAACTGTATCAAATGGCAAGCCTCTCTGTTTTGAAATTTGGGAACAATCATCTACAAGGCCCCGTGCCTTCCGAGTTTGGACTTATGACCAACATGTCAAGGATCTTGCTTTATGTAAACAGCCTGACTGGTTCAGTGCCAAGTGAGTTAGGACTGGCAACCAACCTGGAGACCCTAGACCTAGAAAGCAACACAACGTCTGGCTCCCTTCCAACCGAACTCATGTTTATGACAAAGCTTGCTGAGTTGTGGCTCAATGGCAACCTTTTCTCTGGTACATTGCCAATTTGGCAAATGTCCAGTTTGGAGATGATCCTGCTCTCTGGTAACTCCTTGTCTGGTTCAATTTCCGTGGAAGCTGGCCACTTGGATTCGCTGCAAGTGCTCGATCTTGCTCACAATTACATCACGGGGACTTTACCAACCCAGATTGGCTTGATGACCTCATTAGAAACCTTGTATCTCCAAGACAACAGGCTGACCGGCGTGCTTCCCCATGAGCTGAATGCATCCATTACATTGAGATTGGATGGAAACCAATTCTCAGGAACAGTTCCACCACAGCTTTGTTCAGTTCTCTGGTGTGATTGTTCTGGCAACATTTCCTTGGCATCAACTTGTGCAGATCTCAAGGAACATCCAGTTTGGCCTGGAAGATTTCCACCACCGGTCAGCGCAGACGGGGACACCATCACAGTCATGCTGAACATTCAAACTGATATTTGGCCAGAGGAAACAGAGTGGGTCTGGCAGCAAAGTGAGGGCAACCTGACAGATGCTTGGAAGACTCTTCAAGAATCCAAAGGTGGGCTCCAAGCGAAGAATCACCTGCACTCTTACATACTTACTTTGACTTCTGGTGCAGCCCACAAATTGGTGGTATCTGACTTGATTGGAGATGGTTTAATGACTGAAGTTCTAGGGGAAAATGGTTGGATCACATTGACTGGCACTAACGAGACAGTGTTGTATTCATTCACGAATGCAGAGTTTTCCAAAGTGATAGTCAATGTATCCGTTGAATGGGATGGAGTCATTGAAGTCACTTCAAAAGTAGAGGTATGAAGAAGTATCTGTGTCTAGTTTATCATGTAGTGCATCTATCTAGAGTGGCTTGTGTGTGATCTGTAGGACTTCTTACATGTTAGTCCAACATTACAAGCTACTCCCCAGCCAAAATGAGGAATTCCTCATTTTTCCGCAGGAACACTAGGTTGCTTAAATCCATAGAGAATGGATGTTTTCCGAAGTGTTCCAGAAGCTTTATTATGGTAAGGGTTACTTTGCTGCGTCCCTGAAGAGCCAGGCATGCTCTCCGTGAGATTTCGTTACATTCCTCATTTTTGCAGTTTTCCCCATTATTGCCGCCGAGTAGCAAGGAAGAACCGTGTTTTGATTGATATTAGAGAAGAAACTACTAGCTAGAGAGAGAAAGAACCAAAGGAAAAGGGGCTTCACAGCCCAGAGAAGGCATGAGGGCATCTCCCAGTGACAGTAGCTAGAGAGAGATAGAACCAAAGGAAAAGGGGCTCCACAGCCCAGGGAAGGCCTGAGGGCATCTCCCAGTGACAGGAGTCGCAGCACAAAAAGGACAGAGACCTCAAGAATTGAGGATCTAGAACCAACAATGGCACCAGAGAGTGCAAGAAACAAAGCTAGAAGGACCATTGCCATGAAGGGCAGAGGCACTCCGGAGCATGAGACTGAATAAGGAGGCAGCAAGAGGAGCTCTCAAATATAGATTAGCGGCAACAGGCGTGTTGTTGTCGCTAGGGCTAGCTTTTAAAAAGAAGAGTTATAATAGAGGAGCGAGAGCTGCAAATTGTAGATCAGCGGCAACATGTGGCTGCCGCACAACTTTCAGCGATTGCCAAGTTGAAGTAGGGTTTGGCTGGGATTGAGCATCAGCGGTACCCCTTTGGTTGCCGCGGTGACCAGGCCCTGGCTGGGAGATCTACGAAAGTGACAAGGTGAGCGCATGGTTGTAATGGATGTGACAATCCAGGAGAAATTTCTCTGCACTTCGCTTACCTGTACGACTTGCTTAACTGCTTGCTCTGACCAGGCCCCGAGAGATCCATGAAAGTGATAATGTGAACACATGCTTATAATGGACATGACACGAGAAATCTCTCCTGCTCTTCGCTTACCTGTACAACTTGGCTACTCGCTCTGCTTCAGCCAGCTGTCGTTCCTCCTTGACCAAGTTTATTCTTTCCCAATTTTCTGCCCACAATGAATAGTTGGACTCTCCACTTTCCTGGAACGATGGCTGGACCAATCGCCTGTTTTGCCCCGACTGTACAGATATAAAACCCGAAGATAATCTCGACAATGGAGCCCATACGAATGGGCCCTCCATCTGTAGCAGGTGACACATTTGCCTAAGTGGCTTGGAGAGCAGGTGGGGGCCTGGTCCGCAACACTATCTGCAGCAGAAACAATCACTCTGGAGCAATAGTGAGCAACCTGGAATGGAATGCATAGCACGTAACAATAAGCTCCTCAGAAACTCAGCCAACCACTCACTCTTTTTCTTTCCCGCGCTAATATTACGTGGCAGCTTGAAGCAACGTTACCACCTTTCGAGATTGGTTGACCTATTCAGCCTCGGTCTGGAACTCGTGCCGAACGTTTCACACCTTCAGTTCACAAACAAGGTTGTTGTGAGTAATGGAATAGAATGGAATGGAATTCATGCATGAGGACACTAGCTAGAACCCCCGGCACAACTTACCGTTCTTCTTAGCTGTGGTGCTGCTTTGGGGCTGATTCCCAGCTGCTCCAGAGCTGATAGGGGCCAGATCTCCATCTGTGGCAGCAAAAACCATGTCACAAGTGAGCAATGGTAGTGATGATGGATATACAGAGCAAAAACGGACACTATACCTACTTTGTCTTAGGTTTTCAAAAACGCGACCAACTGCATGTGTGTTGGAAGTACATCTAGAGAAGCATTACACAGCATCATACACAACTGTTCATCTGCTAGTTTTACCGAAGAAGTAGCTGTAATGACCTGACTTCCAGTTTATAATAATAATAATAATAATAATATATTGTTGCGTAACTCCATAGGACGCATACCGTCCAATACACTCCTGCAGCATTACAATGCCACTGCGTTGTCAGGCCGAACCAAATTGCAATCAAAATGTATTCCCCATTGCGTGTGCTTCATTACTAGGTTAAACGTCATCACCGAAACTCCATGTACTCAGCTTGTCGCATGGTTGGCAAAACACCATTCCTTTTCCTGTAGACCAATTCTGTCTTCTTGACTCTGCAGCTAGTTCTCAGGATCACTGTCTTGCCAGTCCATGCTGCAACCACTGCAGTTCTTCCTCGTGTGGCTCTCTTGTGGTTCATCCAATCTGCCTTCTGCTATTGGACTCACCCTGGTCCATCATGACCAAAAGTATCTTCTTGACACCTCAACTTCATGGGATTCTCCTTCCCTCTTCACAACCTTTCAGAGGCTGCTTCCACTCCCCATTCTTTCTTCGCTCTCGATGCCATGGGAGACTCTTCATTAGGCACTAGCTTCTTCAGTAAGATGTTGGAAGTACATCTAGAGAAGCATTAACATCATCACACACAACTGTTCATCAGCTAGTCTTACTGAAGAAGTGGCCGTAATGACCTGACTTCCAGTCTATTTTGTTGCATAACTCCATAGGACGTATACTGTCCAACAATATGGCAACTATCAAGAAGCACAGGGCTTTTGGGTTCTTGTGTCTGCCACGGTACAGCACATCACCTGCAGCAGCAGAGAGGAGGAAGGCAAACTAAAGTGAGCAAATGGAAGTGCAGATTTGATCAAGAAAAAAAACAAGAATTCAAGGCCAAGCACTTACCCTCTCGGTTCTCTTGTTAGATGGTCGCAAGCCAGCTGATTCATGAACACAGAGCGTTCCAGACTACCAGCCCCTGCGAGTCAGTTCAGCGCCTTGGCAAACTGTAGGACGATCGGCCAATCTAGCAAGAAAACAGAAATACAACAACACAAAACCTACCATTCTCAACAACAGAGACATGATCTCCGGCTTTGAGAGAAGCCCAGCCTTCAGAAGCCGTGACAAAGGAACCCTCAAAAGAACTACATTGATTCGAAGCAATAAACCTTCTCCCTTTTTGTTGTTAGGTTGGAAGAAGAACGGTGAATCAATCAAAATCACATAGCCGTTTGCAGAACCAGCGTTGACATCATGTTCATGTGTCCCCTCAAGGGACAAGTTGGAGTTGAATTGCACAGTGCGGACATGTGGCTCTGTGTGTGTGTGTGTTGTAGGCATATTAACCTGGTGTAGTCACTGAATTGAGTTTCAACGGGTGCACAGTTCGAGCTACTGTTTGGTGCTACTGTTCCACAGCCGGAGGTTTTGCTGGTTCCACAGCCGGAGGTTTTGCTGGTCACGACAAAGTCTAGGAGCTAGAGCTCTGGATTCCTTCGGGATAGCTCTGATAGCTATATGCTGGCCTACAGCTCCAGCACCAACAGCGGGCTTATCTCCACTGGTGAGCACCAAACACAGCAAGAGAGGATCCTTGATTCTCTTATAGTTTAATGAATAGTCAAATAATTTAAATGTGTGAATTGATACCATCTCGTAGACCTGAAGCTCCCTTGTTCCTTTGCAGTAGATACCTAGAGGTAAACTGACCTGTAGCACACTTGCTATTAGGCTGCCCAATATTGCGATAGAATGATATCGGTACTACCAGCGCTCTAGGAGCTGAAACTCTGTAAGCAGAGGAGGCCCTGTTGCCATCCACATCTCTTGTGTATCTACCCTGATCCTTTCAAGGAGTTATTGAATCGAGTCTCAGTTATGGTCAACACAAATTTATCAGTTGTTGCTTGCTGTAGTTTGCTATCCGGTGGCTAGATGCTTCTGCCCCTCTAATACTTCCTTCTGGTTGCTGTCAAGTATTTCATTCTGCTTCACTGCTAGTTCCTGCAACTTGCTGACGCGCGGCTTGGGCCAAAGCAGGGTCGAGCAATGGTGCAGACGATGCGGCGGTGCGCCTAAAGATTGATGACATTGTTGGTAACATCAGAAGCCATGGTTGGCGCATAACATTGGAATGTAGTTCCTGTTGGGAACTGTGAAAGCGTTAGCTACAGTTCCTCCCACAACTCAGAGTATCCGTGAATAGATTGAGTCATGTATCATGAATCAATCACTGTGTATCATTTCACGGAAGCCAACTAAACGTTGATCAAAAGTCGTTTCCAGCGACACAAAAGAAATCATCACTGGCAATCGGAGTATCCGACAGAAGCAAAGCCATCTGTTCCCGAACCATTTCCCGTAGATTCCACATTGACTTCCGTATGTACCGAGATCAACTACCATGATGCATTGATTTGATACACTATGAAGCAGCTTCGTTGATAGAATCAAGTAAAGCTCCTCGCAACACAGTTTATGAATTACTAAGAAGCGAACATTGCAGTTACCTTGCACTTGTCTCAAATAATAGTTGATGTTGATCTTGCCGAGCGATAGCCACGTCTTTGAGATCCTCCTATTTGAGTAGTATTGCACTACGCTAAAAGCTAGTGTAAAGATCTTTCGAGTGTTTTGAGTTTGAGAGAATGAAAGTTATGAGAGAGATTAGAAAGCTACGAAAACTAATCCACGAGAGAGATCGTTGTGAAGCTCATTGAAGTTGGTCTCCCGCGGGAGGCCTCGAAGTGTAATATCGTGGGTTATGGTAATAACTCTACGTACTCCACGGTCCATTTCCGGAACACGTGGAAACTTCAGCTAGTGCAATACACGGCTCTTAGCCTTATTCGCGACTCGATCCTAGATAGGGTTTGAGTTCGACTCATGACTGAGTCTCTCGTGAATAGTCATTTGAGACAGCGGTTCTCAATGACCGCGCTAGTCATACAGGTTGATGATGAAACATCGCTCTAGATATTTAGCCAGCGTGGAGTACTTCCACGCTACTAGATCCAGCTAGCAAACCTTCACGCGTTCGTTTTAGGATCGTGGAGAGAGTAGGATTACTACCGGAACCTACTCTATCACACTTTATGTCTCCCGCGG